TTAGATTTATTCCTCGTGATCCACATTAAGGGAATTTTAATACAGACTGTCCTTGTTTGTCACAGCAGCTTGCAGCAAAAGCTGCCTGTCCTACATTTTAAAATGGACTTTTTTTTTTCTAAAATAAGATATGATAACTTGACAGGTTGAATGAACTGGGCCTGCTTCTGTCATGAGTGTGTGTATGTTCATGCACCGAGGTTTTACACAGCTTAAGGGGCATCTAAAAAAAACCCTCACTGTCTTGGTCTTCCTTCAAATACTCTGTGTCTTTTATTTTTTTCCTGAAAAAAAAGACTGCAGAACTGTCTTAGAGGTTATTTATCTGCTGGCGCCAGGCGATTTGGGACTCTTCATGCTGTAGCACTTACTGCTGTGGGAAGCCTGAGCTCCTGTGCCACCCATGGGAGAAGCAGACTGCAGCAGTTCTGCTGGAGAACAGGGGCCCCAAGGGCCTCGTTCCAGACCCACTTGTGGAACAACTCTGTTTCTGGCCTTGTTTTACCCTATGGAAGGAATGGTATCCAAAGGCTATTCAAAACAGTAACTGGCAAGTACAGGAGCTGGGAGGTGGGGTGGTGCTGGTGGATGTTACGTTACTCAGCTCCAGCTGAAAACTGACCTTTAGTTTGTTCCCTGGCGCGTGTAGCTGGCTTTGCAGCAGCAGCGCCTTTACCCACGGCGAGGCGGGAGTTTGTGCTTGTGTCGCTTGGCTGCTGCTGCCTGTGGAGCTGACAGACCTCCCTCCCCTAGGGCATCATCACATATCAAACTGTGGAAACCTTTAGTAAGTTGACAGATAAATTACTGTTGTGCTGTGTGAAGAAGGGGTTGGTTGATGAAACTTTGAACTCGTAACTTCAGCTGAACTATTGAGATGTTAAATCATGTCGCAGACAGAGAAGTCTCCAAGGAGAGCAGGTGTCTCCCATGGCTGGGAGGTGCTGGCTCTGCTCTGGCCTTCCTCCTTATTCACTCACTTTTTATTTTATATTTTTTTTCTCTCCTTAACAAAGGTTTGGATCAGCATGAAAAACTGCTTATTTCATTAAAAAGCCCAAAGTGGGGCATAGTTTTAGTAAATCCAGCCTTAACGTGAATTGCAAATAAATGTGATTAAATATGCAATAACTTCTAGTACTTTGTGTAAGGGTGCTTTTTGTTGTGTTAATGTTGCTTCCTGCTGTTTCTGAGAGGTAGTGTCGTGTGGCCTGCTTGGGCTCCACGGTGCGCGCTGTGCATTGCTTGTGCTTGAGCATTTTATAAGTAAGTGCATCTCCAAGTTTAGGAGTACAGTTTACATGAGTTTCTGTAAAACAGTGAAAAAAAAAGAGTTGGGTAATAGGTGAGAATGCTTGCCTGCAAGGGGGGTCTTGACATTGTTAGTGGTGGCCTGTCAGGCTCTTTGAATTAAAAATTAACAGAGTGACCATATATGTAATGAAAAGAGCAGTGTGGGTCCTGGGAGCCCCGCGTGTCAGTTTGCTGCTTCCGGAGCGTCGCGACTGCCTGTGGTGGCAGTGGGAGATTCCCGGCATCATCCCGGCCTGGCGGCGGGGCCTGTGCTGGGCCCCAGCCCTGGGAGGCGCTGCCTGCCCCACCGTCTCAGGCCTGGAGAAAGGTGGTGCTGGGAAGAAGCAGCTTCATTTATTACACAGCTAAGTATTTTTTTAACATAATGTAGTTTTTTTAGACTAAACTTACATAAATAGTTTTTATTTTAAGTTTGGGCCTTGTTGTTCCAGACTCCTCTGTTGTGCTCCGCAGTTCCTGTGACGTATTTTGCAGCGTTGAGAACTGTGTGCTCGCTGTGTCCTTGCTGTGCCTGCTGGTGGCCTCCGTATGTAACTGTGGCTTTTAAAATTTAGCAAAGGGGCTTTGCAGCCTGGCTGCCCTTGCAGATGCTCCCAGATTGTGATTGCATTAAGGAAATTATTTTTCCAGCTTTTAGATGTAACACAGCAAGCTCTTGGTGATGTGTAATATGTAGCAGCACTCATAGATGACTCTGGTGCAAACAGGAAGAGTCTGCATTAAGAATCCAAGCTCTGACATGCTGTGGTGCAGAATGGTGGCACTGGTGGTCCTGGGGAATGCTTTCCAGTTGGCTTTTTAATTTTGAGCTGTCTGATCTATTTTTATAAATTCTGAGCATTTTTTTTTCCAGAGTTTAATATCAGGTGCCTTCATCTTGTGAATCAGGAGGTAACTCTATATTTGTAGAAGTCTTAAGACAACTGAGAGCTGGTAGAGTAGCCTCTCATTGATTTAAAAGTAGTTTCTCTATTAAAGAAGTCAAGACTTGCACTGTAAATGTTAAGAAAAAAAATGTGGTGCTTATGCATGACTCCATGCTAATTTAAGTTTGCATTTGTTAGTACAGTATTTCTGCTCTTGAAACAAGCAGCAGTTGTTTCTGCAGCTAACTGAAGGTGCTGCAGTAAGGTAGGCCTGGAAGTGTCACCACTCCGTGCAACAGGTCGTGGTGCTTGTGCCCCTGCAGCAACAGCCGCTGCTCGCGGTGCTGTACCGCGGTGCTCGCGGTGCTGTACGTGGGCCCTGGCAGGACACGCTGCAGCTTTTGTGCTCTCTGTGCATTGTCATGCTCCATTCCACATAGTTGTGAACTTAAAGCAAGTCAGTCTATGTAGCAATTTCCTTGGCTGTATTTGGGATCATACTAAAAAGAAGCATCTGTATTAGCAGGAGTACATTATTATTAAATGTTTGTATTTCAATGTCCTTTTCATTGAACTGTACTGAAGTAAATGATAGCATAGATGTGATGTAACCACCTACACCTGCGCTTAGAGAGCTGCCCTGTGGGCACCTGTGGGGAGAAGTGTAAGTAAATTGCAGAAAAACTGCAGGTTGTTCCTCAGTACGGGCAGAGTAAAGGGAAGCGTGAAGAGAAGCGTGCAGAGCGTTTCCACCGCTGAACAGATCCACATGAACTTCAGCTGTGAGTTTCGGTTCATGAAGCACTGTTAAAAAACAACCATAGAGATGTCTCTCTAAAAGACACAGTAGAATGTGTGCTGTAGGATCTATGAGAAAAACTTAGAAACAAATGCTTTAAGCGTATTTAAGTAAAGTTTGTAAAGAGGAATATCCATTTATTATTGTGCATTTAATATGCTGAGTACATACATTTTGCAGAGAAGAATGTGGATTTTGGTCAGCTTCCACTGCGTCATCTTGAGGAGCAGTCTGCCTTGGTCGGCTCTTCAGCGTTAGCAGGTGACATCCGTGACCACCTGTAGTGTCTTGTACTGATGGTTGTCGTTTTCATTGTCGTTCCCTGATTGAGAACTGAAGCACACGCTGGACAGACCACGACTAAACTGGCGCTTTCTTTCCCACTGTAATTTCTCTGTAAATTGCTTTGTGACTCGCTGTAGTAATGCACTGCAGAGACGGACGTTGCTGTTTGTAGAGTGAGCGTGAAGCCTGTGCGCCCCGTACACCGCGTCCTTCCTGACAGGATGTTTGAACTGACACTGCCTTAAGCCACTTGGCAGCGCTGGTTCACATGTGGGTGCCCAGTAAAGGACGTGGGTTTTAAACCCAGGTGGACAAGGGCCCAGCGAGCAGTGGGAAGCAGGATGTATTTTACAAGATGTCTGGTCTGTTGAAGAGAGGAAGTATGTCAGGCTTAATCAGTGCTTTTAAAATACTTACGAAATGGTGGGTTGTGGTCCCTATAATGTCATTGAAAGAACTGAATGTGCGGCAACACTTCCCTATGTGCTCTTCCCTATCTGTAAAGCTGTCGATGAAACTGCCGGGGGAAAGTGCAGATGTTGGGAGGTGCAGGAGCCCCTTAGGTGTGGGCTGCGCCCCACTGAGCGCGGCAGCTCCGGCCCCAGGGGACCTGCAGCGGCGCCAGCCCCTGCCCCGCGCTCAGCCCCCCCGAGAGCGGCACCCCAAAGCATGCGTGGTATTAGAAATTTATTCAGAATATAAGAACATTTGTAAAATAAAAGTATTATAAATGTCTCTGTATAAATAAATGCAGTTTTTACAATTCTATATCAAATGAACACAAAACTGCTATTTTACAGCACCTAGAAAACTAAAAAGCAGCAACACATTTGAAGCTAATTCGATAAGCTGAAACATTTCTAAACTTAGCAGGTGTGGTACAGTATTAAGCGAGTTTTTAATTGAGAAACTCCGAATAAAAAATGTAGAACAATACTGACATTAACGCAAACTTAATCACGTGTGCTTTGTAATAGCTAACAGTACATTCAAGCTGGTGAAGATCTATACCCTTAATTAGAAAAAGTACTTGCTTTTTTTCTGAACGCAATGCAAAATATAAGGTCTCATGCGCTCTGGCAATTTAAAAAGTCACAAAATAAAGTACAAACTAAGATTAGTAAGTGGACTTTTTTTATTTCTGCTTTGCTTATGCACTATTTCTGCAACCAGTGCGAGGTGAGCTGAGTTGCAGGCATCTTGCCTCAGTGGTAGAGCTAAGCGCACACTTGTCTCTAGGCTGGTGTCTCAAAATTGCATGAAAGGAACGGAGTTTTGTCACCTGCGCTGGGGCTGGTGCCGCTGCAGCAGCCGTGCAGGCCGCCGGGCTGAGGGCGGCGACAGCAGCTCCTGCCCTCGACGGCCTCCTGCTCCCCAGCGCAGGCCCTGCTCCTCCCTCGGCAGCTCCGGGCGGGCGGCAGCGAGCACAGGCGCCCTGCGGCGCGTCCCCGCACGCTTGGAGCGGAGCCGAGTCGCGCAGGGAGCTGCGCCGCCGGAGCAGCACGGCCGCGACAGGGAGCCGCGCAGCCAAGGGCAGCGCTGAGCTGGCGCAGAGGTCGCTGAGCTTGCCGAGGCCGCTGAAGGGGGCAGTGCTGCTTCGTGTTTCTAAACCCAGCTCCCTTTCACGCTTTCTTAGTGTACAATCTCACCTGCAGTTTAAAGGTTTCAAGCCTCATTCACTTATCTGTTTGTTTAGTTACTAATAAAAGAGAAAAAAAAAAAAAAAAAGCCAAAGAGGAAATCCAGTGCAACAACGGTTTCTAGCTACCTTAGGTGAAATATTTCACACTGAGAGTTTGAGATGACCTCCAGTTCCTTGTTCCAGGTAAGAGCAGGCAGAACGGTGATTGCATTTTTACCAGAGCACACGGGGCTCTTCATGTTTCTGGAGAAACAAGCGCAACCAGCTACCGCTGAAGTAGACATGGGCAAAGCGGACACCTCTCAGTGCCTCAACAGTCTGCTTTACAAAAATTTCCATTTACATTTTAGCAAGAATTACAATTAAGTGGAAATCATACAATTATCTTCTTAATAAAGAGGACTGAGCAAAACCAACTTAAAGGCATCTGACCACCTAGAGCTTATTTGGAAACCAGCACAGTCATAAGGAGCACTCCTGCAATCAGCCCTTCCCAGTGCTGACGTTGTAGCTGGATGTACTGGACACCAGAATGGTATCGCCTAAGTCGGCTGTAGGGGAAGGAGAGGGCGGCAGCCTCAGTAACGAGAGCACCAAGCAGGGGGTGCCGGCTGTTAGCGAGGCTTAAGCACTGACCACGAGCCCCACAACTGCCGTGGCTGCCTGGCCTAACACAGGGCTACACAAAGCCAGCTCAAGTCCTAGCAAAAATACATAATTTTTTCAGTGCTGGAAACTACAGTAACAGGTGAAAGACTGTCTCATTAATCCTAGAGGTGCAGCCCAGTGTAAAACAAGTCGTATCTTGGATGGGAAGGAGAGCTGGCTCCTAAGGTGGATTTCCTGGAGAAAGCAAAGCCTGCAGAATGCCGAGGGGAGCAGTAAGGGAGCAGCGGGGCAGGGCCGCTGCGCTGTGCCCGCGGCCCGCAGGGGCTCACGGCGGCGCTGCCGTGAGGACAGCCCCGCGTGGAGCTGCCCTCGTGCCGGACTCCGCTTCCCCAGCCCGTCTGTGCTTTGCTCGGCCTTCGTTCTACTGCAGCTCAAAGACTTCAGGTCGTTTACCTGGGTTGGGCACCAGGGCGATGTGACTTAGGAAAGAACGTTAACAAGAGTAAGAAAAGTTAGCCTAAGGAGCCCTATGAAGACATAACCATTCACATTCTGTTTGTGGTTGCACATCCATACATATACACTGATACAGTCTTGTGCATATGTATTTAATATTGAACAGGTACATTCCTCTAAATAAGTACCTTTTTTATTTGGTCAAAAGCATATTAAAAGAAAAAAGACATTCTATCTCTTGATCATAGAAAGCGGCAATAAAACTATACTCGTGAAAAAAAAATGGCCCAGCCTCTTAATTACCTTGGCTATATAGTACTAGTAAGAAATATCTAGCTGTCTCATTGCATTCGGCATGCGGTGTCAGGAGCTTTCCTGCAATTCCTGACACGACCTTGGCATGGAACGTCTGGCACGGCGGAACCCCCGGCCCCGAGCCCCCTCAGGGACCAAGAACCACGTTAATGCATCACAGTGTCCGCGGTGCCGCGGGCTGCTTGTTGTAGCCACACGAGCGCCTTTCCCATGGGATCTGCTCCATGAGTAAGTGCAGTCGCGGTGCAAGCGCCACCGCAGCCGCCCGCGCCGAGACGCGCCCCCGTCCCCCAGGCAGCCGCTCGGGAGCCGCGTGAGGCTTGAGCGCCACACAGGGAACGGGGGAGCCCCGGGCGCTCCCCGATAACCAGAGCACTCCTGCAATCCCCAACTGCTCCAAGGAAGTAAAACCTCTTCACACGTATTCCCTTGTTAGGCCACGCTGCTGCCCCTGGGGCATAAGCTGGAAGAGAACCCGTGTGCGTGCAAACCTAACGAGAGAGGCAACGTGCATGTTCATGGCATGGTAATTCAGGCACTGTCCATTTACAGTATTAAAGAGTCTTTGCTTAATGCTTAAGTAAATTTTCCCCATAACTCCTATCTGCAAAGCTGCGATCCTAGTGATGCTGTGGACTGCGTCTGTGTCAAGGATCGAGCTTTAGAGTTTGAAGCTACCTCAAAAAGAGCTTCCAAAAGACACAGACTTGTGATGGCACCGGCCCCTCGGACGGGGCGTTCAAAGCGACGTTTCGTTGGTGTGAGGGCGAGAGTTCTCCTCCTCCAGCAGCGCTATCCGCTGTTTCAGCATCCGCACTTGAGTTTCGTGTCTCTCAACCATGGCCATCATTTGTGATTCCAGTTTCTTCAGCTTGTTCTGATGCTTTTTCTTTGCTTTTTCGTAAGCAGCTACCAAGTTACTGTTAGAAATAATACAAGACAGTACATGACTATTCAACAAAGTTTGCTCACAGTGTATGTTATCAAAGAAATAATAATAAAAAGCCATGGGGGCAGTGTGAAGTTTGGATCCTCTTCCTAAAATCTAACTGTATTTTAAAACTTTTCCAAATTCACCACAGTGTAACCTCTCGACTTCTGGACAGAATCACACCTTTTCTACTGAACTGGTTACTGAAAACACATTTTTAAACATGGTTTTGAGAAGCAGTTAGAGGGTTGGTTGCTTATAATGTCTGTGGAGAGCACTGCTTGGGAATCAGCACTTTACAACATCAAACATGTAATGTTTTACAAGAAGAAGGTTCCCTCCCAGCCAGTATGTGCTCACAAAACCCACTATTAAGCCAGAGAAAGTTTCTTTCCCTCCCACAAACACAATCAGTGTGAGCGAGGTTGTGGGCAGCAGGCAGGAGGGGGAGCTGCAGTCCGCAACACTCCGAGGCTGCTCCCAGCTGGAGCCCACGGGGCGCCTATGGTACCAGCCCTGCTTCCGAGAGCAGAGCTGGGAAATTCAGGTGGGGTCACGGACGACAGTTTTTTCATAAGAAGCCAAAGGCAGGAGAGCAGTTTAAACCAAAATAACTGCAGCAAAGGAATGTGACCGGATTCAAGGATTTACGTTGTTGTTTCATACTGATGTGTTTAACAACAGCTCCATTAAAACCAAGCCATCATCTCCCCTGCTCTGGGCACCCTGCCTGTGATGTGCAGGACCCTGCTGGCCCCCCGTTACCTGTTGGCCCTTTTGAGGTCGTTGACGAACTCTGCCGACTGCTGGTGCCGGATTTCGCTGCTCTTGGTGAGCCTCTCCAGCGCGCTCACCAGCTCCTGCACCCGGGCTTTCAGCTTCTTCTCCCTGGACCAGCAGAAAAGGAGGGAGAAAATCATTTCAAAACAGAAGCAACACTTCAGCCTGCAGAGCATGCACAGCAGCCAACAAGCTTCTTCCCTGTGCTTTCCTTAACACTATTTGGATAACACACAGGTTTCTTTGTTTCTTTTATTTGCTTTGATACCAGATTCTAGTTCTGATGTCCCACTCTTCCAGAGATTGGATTTATGAAATTCACCATTTTAGAATACATGATCAGAGCTGCAGCAGGCAGAGCTGGTGAAAAACTTCTTTGATGGTCTTGTAGAATCACACTAATAAAATAATTGCAAAGATGCAATGCCTGGCACTTCCTGCATGTTGAATGATATAGCAAAGAAAACTAGGAAGAAAAAGTGAAACCAAGGGTGCACGTCTAGCAGAATGTCCGACATGCTGGAGCCGAGCGCGAGCTGCTGTGCCCACTCAGGTTTAATGATCCAGGCTCTCCCTGCTGGATGTTCCTGCCCCAGCTCATTCCGAGCATGTGGAGTCCCCAGGGCAGCTCCAAGGAGCCGGGTGGCCCATGAGGGAAGCGCCCCCCGTGGGCAGCCCCTTTCCAAGGGATGGGAGAGCCACGCTGGCAGCACAGGAGGGCCTGCGGAGCGACGCCTTTGGTGCCATGAGCTCCACTCTACTCTGCCCATGATGGGAAGACATGGGCGCACGAAGTGCGGGCCTCGCTCCGCTTCCCGCCGCGGGAGGCGATGCCATGCGGCACTGCACCGGAGCGCGATGTCGGAGTGTGGTGTTGGAGCGCTCCCGAGGCCGCTGCTGCTTCCAGGAGCCACCAGATGCCCCGTGCCACCTCCGCGGCGGCAGCGGCTGCTGTGATCCCGATGGGGCCGCTTCCCAGACCTGGGGATATCTGGAGCGGCTGTGTGAGCCGTGCCCCAGCGCGAGGCAACCCGCGCAGCCCGGGCGGCGAGCGGCACCACTTACGTCAGTCATAAACAGAGCAATACAAACGAGATGGCACGTGGGAAAACCATCCGTGGAGGTGCCCAGGGGCAGGCCAGGCCGCTCCTCGGGCATTCCCATCCGGAGCGCCCGCCCTGCCGCCCCGTGGCTCTGTGCAGGGCGCAGCGCCCGGGACGCTGCTGCCCAGAGCTGCCCCTTCCCGCTGCAGGATCACTGGGAGCCCTCTCTTGGCTCAAGGGGACACGGCGGCCTGCAGAGCGTCCAAGCTCGCTGCTAAACCCCCCTTCTGCAGGGTGGACACGCGGACGGCAAGCCCCGCACTCGGGCGACCCTCCACAGCAGCCACAGGTCGTGATTTTGCACCCGAAATGACCAGCTGAGATCCCAAGAGCCTGGACACGAAGCGCTGCGTCTGCCACGACCTCCACCTGGCTTCGGTGCCTTCCCGCCCAGCTATTCTGACTGTTACGAAGGATTCCCGCAAGGCATAAACGCTGCTCAGCTCTGTGTTTCAGAGCCGAGAGCAAGCGGAAAGGGTCTGTCGTACGAGGGTCGTCTCTGCCGGGCTGGGTCTGGGGAGCAGCTTTGCCCTCGCCCGCTCATCCATCCTGCGCAGACTGAGGGACCCTGTGTCACCCGCTAAACGGGGGCAGCAAAATTCCCTTTTCCCGACTCCGTGCCGTAGCTGACACATGTGTAAGCTGGTAGGTGCCTACGAGGTCACCGCCCGAGCACCCTGCCCTGCTCCTTGCCCCGCAGCAGCGGAGCGGAGCCAGGAGCAGGACGTTCCACGGCTGCCTGGGACTGCGCAGCCCTCGGCCCCAGGGAGTCCAACCAGATCCTCCCCCACAAAGCAGCCTCCGGCGCGGCCCACGGGGCTGTTCGCGCCAGGCCAGCAGGCTGCTCGGAACGTGATCTCACTCTCCCAAGAATAAAGTACTTCCTGCCAAAAAACTCATCTGCGAATGTGTCAGACAACAGAAAATGAAGCTTAGAGGCTTCCTACCCACTGAGGCATTCCAGCAGTCTATTGCAGAAGAGGGAAAGGGCTGCAGAGTGAGTGTGGGGATGTCTGCACGCGCCGCAGCGGGGATGCGCGGCCCCCTTGAGCACAGGGGCCCTGCTGGGGAGACCCCACACGCTGCCCCCCAGCACCGGCCCCGCTGCGGGACCCACCGAGCACTCGCCTATGTCAGCAAACAGGGAACTCTGTGGCGCACGGGGAGTCACCGGGACCTGCTGGATCCCACAGGGTGCTGCCCTGCTGCTCCTCTTCCAAACGGGAGGGAGCAGTCCTGGGCATCAGCCTTGGCCAGGCACAGGAGCTAAACCCACCTTAAATCCTTGGGCCACAGCTCCTCCTGACCATTCCATGCTGCAGCACTTGCACAGGGTAGAATACGCCTTAATTACTTAATTATTTTTGCCCCTCATGATACTGTAAATCCCACCAAGGGACCTGAGAGGCCGTTCACACCACAACCAGGATTCAGCCTTGCTGGTATTTTTGACACAGCTGTTGCTAACCAGGCCCCAGCGCAGGTTTCCCCAGGCATTCCACGAACTTCCCACCCATCCTCAGACCGACCTTGGGATAAGAGGCTGGACACCCATCCCGGGGTGCCCCACGGATGGGGAGCAGAGCCCCGTGCAGCCACCCTGTCCCGTCCCAGCCCCAGGGCTGCAGTGTCGGGCGCAGACACATCCCCACTGCACACAAGGCTTTCACTGCACAGCTCTGCACAGCTTAATCCCATTACTTTTCTTTCCCATTTCTGCCTGACAAACTGCACTTGCCAGGCCCCTGGCTGGAAATCCATGCTAATCAACTTAAGGCATAGTAGATAAAGCAAAGGTTTTCTCTCTGTGTAGTCAGCAAACCGCACTGCACGTTTTATTTGAGTCTCTGCAAACTAAGGTCACTGGTATCTCCTTGAAACCAGAGGCAAGAAATGACAGCAGGAGAAGCCGGTGGATGAGGGAAGACAGAAAATGCCAGCGGAGCAGCTCGCACCGGGCTGGGGAGCTTGCGGGGGAGCCCGTGGCTCTGCACACTGTTTATTTAAACTGCTTTGCTGTCGGGTTTTAGCCACCCACACACACAAAAACAGTTCTAATTTTTTTTTTAAAACACAGATTTTTTTTGCTCTCTGCATCAGGCAAACTAAATATTCAACAACTGCCAGAGTATTAAGCAAATGATATAAGCTGCATAGATTCCAGAGTGGCAACAATCTCACATTTTTACATAATGCCTTTTAGGCTTAGGCGTCCTTATACACACCAGGAGCTGCTCCAAAGAAAAAAGTGCTTCAGGAGGGAAGCACAACAGCTGCTGGAGAAGACATTCCACCTCTGAGGGTGGAATGGCCAGAAAAGCAGAACTCACTCTTTCCAACCAAAATCCTTAGCAGAACCTTAGACAAATTCAAAATACTGTAAGGTTAGACTTTAAATGGTCTTGTCTTCCAAAGCGAAATACACATTGGAAAGACTACTGAAGCAGTGTCCTTGTCATGAACACTACCCCGTATCCGGTGCACTGAAAACTGCTGCACAAACACCTGGTTAATGTATAACTGTACTGAAGGCTTTGGCTTAAAACCTGGCTGGCGATAAAAACAGCTTGTCGAGACATCAATTTCTTCTCTTGTCAGAAAGCTAATATTTCACAATATTTCACACAACAGTGTTCCTCTGTAATCACATCACAGCTCTGCTTACATTTGCAGGATGCAGTGAATGCCGTCTCTGAATCACCACAGACGCTGCAGTTCCCACTCCTGTGCCTCCCACCCGAGCTCCAACCTTCTTAACCAAAGACCAGAGTCCAAATCCCATTCCTGCATTAGGGCTTGCTACAGACCTCAAGCACGTTACATCGCTTGCTTTGTTCTCAAATTCCCCTTGCCTAGTTTTGGGGGAGTAACTCCCAGTATTTCAAGGGTTTGATAAAGTTCATTTGTATTCGAAAGATGCTTTATCATACTGGAGATAAGCACCCTTGAAGGGCTTTAACTACTGAAAAACAGTAACAAGTAGGAGGGAAAGTTAGGCAAATACATCTTGATCCTTCTCGTTCTCGAAGGAAGAACCTGTGGCAATGCTTAGCACCATCCCCAGCACAGGCTGAGCCCCTGGTGGGAGCTGGGGGTGTGCGTGGCGCGGCAGGGACCCGCTTACCGCCTCAGCGCGCTCGCCAGCTCTGCCGCCACGTCGCTGCTCTCGCTGCACGGCCGCAGCTCGGCCAAGGCCAGCGGCGTCGCGGCACCGTCGCTGCTTTCCTGAGAAAAGAGGCCAGAGAATCTCATCTGAACACGTCTTAACAGAAGGACTTTGAAAACCACTACATTCTCATCAACTTTAAGGATGAGGGTGCAATAAACATCCCATGTCACAAACATGGCAGGGTATCAGTAAGGCAAGAAAAAGACGACATGAGATCAGCACTGCACAGATCCTGCTGCGTCTTTTCCAAACTATCCTGGCGCACGGATCTGCACAGTGATCACAGCATGCACAGGTCCTGCTGCCTTACATACTTCTGACACCATACTTGAAGTAAAACAGCACAGGATCAAGAAAAAAAAGAGATCAGATGAAGCTTTGCCAAAAACATCTAAGTAAGAAGGACACAGTCCTACCGCAGTTTTGTTTTCATTTTTAAATAAGCCATTGAGAATTTATGGGGACACAGAACTGAAGGACAGCATCCAAGTTCTAGGAATCACTGTTTCTTCAAATTCTTCAATCAAATGGGTTAATTCTTCAAATTATGAACGTTTGCATGCAATGAAATAATTATGTTTGTTTTATATTAAAGGACAAAAATATCATTCAACAATCACTACAGACTATCTGCAGAAAGTGGCTATATTTACAATGCTCTAGGTGTCACAGAAAAATGACCTCCAGTTTACCACATTCTGTGTTTGAAGTCCTGGGGAGAGGGGGTGTTCTGCTTACACCTTTCACAACAACTGTGTCCAAGGACTGGCATCAAGCAATACACAACATGCTCAACCACAGCAGCTTGTATGTTAGTCGTGAATGGCTTTATTGTATTTCTTCCAAGAACAACCTCCACGTTTTAGTTTAGGTTTAGCAGTAATTCTGCAAAGTGCTCATGAACCACAGGATGGAAGCATCTAGCAATGGGAGGATGCACATGCAGAAGAGCAGGAGATGGATTAACAGGCTAAATGTAGTAGGGAGGACAAGACATAATAAACTGTTTTTACATCAGTTTTGGAGTCTGGACTTTAATTTCTGACCTTGCCCAATTTGTCTTTGCTGCCACTGCTCGTAGAACTTAGAGACCTCATTCTTTGCTCTTTTTGCTCCTCTACTTCAGACTTCAAGTGCTCAATGTGGACAAGATAGGCCTGTTCCTGGGCTTCTCGGGTGCTCAGTTTCAATTCCAAAGCCTTCTTCTCTTTCTCTAGCAGATACAGCTGAGCCTTCAGCTCTGCCATCTCCTCCTGTGGAAGAAATATATCATCATGCTGCTTCATGGGACTACATATCCAAAGGAAGACACGGCCAAACATGAGATTCATTCATTCCTATTACTTAAGAGGGTTTTTTCAAAAAAGAACATTGTTAGCATCTGTAACGCTTTTTGTTTGTTTGCTTTGTTAAATACAACCATACAGCGACTCTGTAAGCAAAAGTAATTGAATAGTACTGCAAAGCTGATCTTCAAAGAGGTACTGTACCTTGAGACAAAATGGGTACCAGGAACTGTGCCATCCCTTAATCAATCTCTTAGAAACAAACCTCGAGGCACTAGGGCAGCTGATGTGCCAGAACTAGAGTATCAGAGATCTGAGAAGGTTGTCACAGCTGCTGAAGTTGTGGTTCCACCTCGCCCTTTAGAGACTGTTGCCCCATAAAGAGGAGTGTCTCATCTGTTGCAAACCAGCTCTGTAACAGTTTCCAGCAATTGATAAATAAGAATCAGTGTTTGTTTTTCTCATTATGAAATCTGAAGGACCAGCAGAGCAAACACAGACCATATATTCCTGCCTCACATTACCAGCCCCTGATGCAGAATGAATTAGTCAAAAAGGGTGACCGGGTAGGGCTTTATCAAATGTCCCACGTCAATCCCGCTCCTCAGGACAGTCAGAATCTCAACTATATGCAACTACAGGTTTGTTTTATTTGCACTAGCTTTCTTTCCTCCCTAAGTACGATCCACAGAAGATGCGAATTGGCACTTAGGTCGGTTCTCAGAGCTGGTTCTTGTGTCCTGGCACTCCTAGAGTTCTGAGCAGGCTGCCACCCACTGCGGCCTCACGGCAGCTGTGAGGGGAGGTTCTGCTTTAACACCGGCCCTCCGAGAGCGGCTCCCGGCGCTGCCTGGGCAGAAGTTAAGGACACGGCGGGAGCAGCGGGCGGCCTTTCAGCTCTGGCCTCCTGCGAACCGGAGCCGAGCAGCTTCCTGAACCAGTGGGCTCCTTGGGTGCAATGACTTCTGAGAAAAGTCTCTTCCATGAAATGTCTAGTTCTTTTCTGAACCAATGAAAAGAACAGCTACAAAAATCCACAAAATACTTTGATAAACAGTCCTAAAACGTATCCTATATTATCCATTAAAAACCCAAACGCAAACAGACAAACCAACCCCTACCCAAAACCCCAGAAATACGCTCTCCTTTTTGAGCTTGCCGCACATGGGTTCACTTCATGGGCAACAGCACTGAGTTCTCACAGCTGTTTTTGTATTACAGTTCAGTTCTAGACTCGTCCACTCTGTAAACATTTCTGAGAGAAAAAACTCCTTGTTACGTGGCCAGTCTATAAACTTTTTTTTTTTTTTTCCTAAACTAGAAAGCACATTCTAGGTGACAAAAACCTCAGAAGTGTCTTACTTTATCCTTCCAATACAATTCTCTTTGTATGATATCCATTATTAACAAAGACCATATAAACAGAATTCCTGGCACATAGTTAGACTAACTCTCTCTGTGGAAGAGAATTCATGCTTCTACCCAAAATCCACTCTGCAGATTATATGTGCAGATGTAGCACAGTTAGAGTAATCATTGGCTAATTCAGCCATCCCAAACTTACAAAAAAAAAAAAAAAAAACATATCCCAGAACAAACTTTTAGTCCTGGAAGGTTAATATGAGCTTTGAATTAACTTTATTCATCTACCTATAAATGAACTGAAGGTTGCAAGTATATTCACTAGGCTTTACAGAAATTCAGTTATGACACAAAATTACCATCAATTTCCCTTGTCAATAGGAAATATGTAAATAACTTTGTTAAATAAAGATGAGGAAGTTAAATCACAGGAGCTGAACTGGATTGCCTGGTCTGCTTAAAGTATATGCACTGAGCTTCTTAAACCTCTCTTTATAAAGCCATTAATCTACTTAGTGAAGGGCTGAGAAGTAATTTGAGCAGTCTTCTGGCACTTATGTGAGGAAAAGATTTTCCTGACAGGAAGCTACCTGTATGTGAGGGGCATGACAAGATCTTCGCAGGCTGTAAGCTGAATCTTGGCAAATTCAGTCTGAAAACAGGAAAAAGGGGGGGGGGGGTCTCAAACAGTAGAATAATGAATCTGTGCAACTGCTTTTTTTTTTTGTGATCCAAAGGTTTTACTTAAAGACTGGATGCTTATCTATACCACATAGTCTATCTCAAAATCATTTAAAAGATCAACAGTGAATCAACTCTTAAAAAACGTTTATATATTTATATACACATATATATTTATATATATATGTTTATATACACACATATATACATATGTTTATATACACATATATATACATATCTATATATACATATGTATATAAAGCAAAAACAGTAGGTTTACATCCTCAAAAGGCCCTATAAATTTACAAATTCGCAGCTTCTTCTACGCTGGACACCATGGACCCCAAAGCACCCTAACCCCTTCCCTTTGCCTTTTCATGTCAGAAAACTTTGGGAACTTTGGGAGACCACATGCAAAGACAAAGCAGGGTCAAAGTAGAGAAATTGTCACCTGTGTTTTCAAGGGGCTCTCAAGAAAGGCAGAGAAAGGAAAAGAAAGGTTGAAGCTAAAAATCACGTTTATGGTTGAGGATGTTGATATAGACACTTAGGAGGCACAGCAGCAGCCAGCAGTGACCAGTGTGATGGGACCAAAATGTAAGCAAGCCAGGTTTACTCATAAAGTTAATTAGTCTCCACACATGCAGCAACTTTTCAATGAAAATACGTCTTCTAAGACATCCAAATTTCATTTCAATGGCAACATCTGATTTATATGTGTATCTGTGATCCCTTTTGCTTCTTCTAATTATAGGATGCTGGCACAGCTCTGTGCATCTGTGCATTTTAGCATCCTTTTTTAGGGTGCGACCTGAGGCACAAGGGGCACTTGCAGAACGAAGCGCTGCAGGAGCAGCTGCCCAGTGGTCACTCCCCAGTTCACTGCAACTTCACCAGGTTCAGGTCCCAAATCTAATGGTCATTTCAAGACAAGTCCATTGAATACTGAGCAATTTGTACAAGTAGTCATATTCCAATTCCAAACGCAGGCAAAAGCCTGAAAGAAAGCTAATCACCTTGGATGCAGTGTAACCAGAAACACTTATTTCATTCACTTATTTTTGAGTTCACTTGTAATTTGTATTGGACTTACTGGACATTGCACTTACGTCGGAAGAACAAAACAGCAAGGACTCCTATATGGCAAGAAGTTATTCAGAGTCATTTAAAATGCCTCTAAGAGGATCACAACACACTAGGTAGAAAAATCATCTTTCAGAAGGAAAACAAATACCAGAGCTGATAAAGGATAAGTGAAGTTCTGGGTAACTGTATTTTACATTGAACACAAAATGCTTTAACAAAGGATGAAGACTGTAGCCTCAAAGCACATTCAAGCAATACTATCACCACCTGTATACACAAGAGGGAAAAAAAAAATCAAAGAAAGCTGAGACTTCTTATCTAGATCCCAAACCTCCGAAATGCAGGAAAAGGCAGTAAACTAAGCATTGTTTACACCCATCAGAAGTAATTTCCTTGCTAACTAGGGCATGACAAAAACAACTGACCTCAAAGCAAGACCTGCTGAATGATGACAAACAGCAGAATGTATTTGGAAACGTGGTTAATTTTTGCTTGAAGCACAGAATTGGATTTTACAGAAGTACTGGATGACCTGCTAGTTTTTATATACTGGGTCACTAAGAGAATAAACACAGCAAAATTAAAACCAGAATAAAAAAACTATGAGGATTCCTGACACTACCCCTAAGCCCTTTTTATTATGGTCCAGCCTCATTAAAAAAAAAAAAAGAAGGGTATAACAGCACTACACAGATGCAAGAAGCCGTAACTCATGTGGTGACTATATTTCACTGTGATTCCTAAATGAAAGGTTGCTGAAAGCAGAGGTTCCAACACAGACAAGCATTTCAAGAACATGACAGTAGATCATAAGACCCCAAAATGTAGGAGATCCTTGAGTAGCCCCATCAGATCTTGCCATGAATGGAGGGAAGGAAGGAAACACAATAAACAGATGCTACATGACAAAGTGCTCCGCAGCACAGATGCTATGAGGAAACTGAAATTCTCCAATCATCTCGGAATGTGGCAGATATATATGCTATTTTATATGAGCTGCACACTCCAAATAATAGATATGAATAATAAATTCAAAGGTGAAAGTCAGCTCTGCTACAGCTTGTAAACATTAGAGCTGTCTGCAAAGCAGATCTGAGCAAAACCCACGGATGCTAGGAAGGGTGCAGTTTTTCTTGGTTCTGAAGCTCTGCCTATTTGCCTCTTGGATGGCTACTTACAGAGAAGAGGGGTAGGAGTCTTCCATTTCTGTAGCAGGAGAGGAGTTACCAGCAAATGCTTTCCAGGCTTCACAATGCATGAGACTTTTCGCCATGTCCCTTTCTGAAACCTAGAAATTTTCTGCAACTGTGAATTCTCACAAAATACAACAAAAATATAACTAAAGGACACTGCTGTCAGGTCCCCTGGGCCAGAAAGGACTGGCATCGACTCTAGGCACATCCATAAAATATCTATCTATTCCAGGCTGCACCGCACACAAACCATAAAGATGTGTAAATTCTGGAGACAACTGCTGCAGTGAAAACCCAGTGTGCCAGGTCTAGTTATGAGTGGAAAATATGTGTCAAAAAGCAGTTGGTCATTTAGTGAGCAGCAGGATCACTGTCACTCAAAACTGTGCCAGGAATCACGATATGCAACTATTCATGTCCCTGCCAAGTTAAGGACTGCACAGGTATTAATCATGTGGATAGCTCTGCACTTAATGATCAGTTTAAAGCTGGAGGTGAGTATGGAGTGCAAGACATTTCAGAAAACATGTGGAGACAAAGAAAGCAAATGAGAAGTCTGATGTTGGAACTGCACATCTAATAATCTGCAAGAGTCTTTGAAATACCTAATATAACTTAAAGACTCTTAAGTCTTACTAGGGAATATTTTTTTTTCTGGACTGTAAATATTAAATATTATAATGCAAAATTATGTTTCTTGTCAGATGGAAAGGCAGCAGCACTAAGAAAACAATTATCAATGCTAAACTACTAACATGCCAACACTACCCAGTCTAAACAAAAATCTACAGATTTAGAAGCTTTCAAAACTGCAGAAATTACTATTATTACATATGATATCATTCTCTAATATATCTGCTATTAGTTCACTATAGCAGGACTTGCTAATAGAGAGGAGTTAACTGAAACTAGGCAATTTCCGAATTTCAGTTTAATTGAAACTAGGCAATTTCCGAATGCAGACACACGCTTGTGCTGTCTGCACAATACGCTCACATGTTCTAGTTCAGCTCTCTATAAACTTGTGAAGCCAATAGAGAAGGCAGGTTTAAAGTGATATAAGGTCTATATCTGGTTGGTAAAAGTCAGTTTGTCCCGCTTTCAGCTATATAACCAGACATACAAACAAGGTCTGAGGTAGCAGAGCATTCTCCCAAAACTTTGCTATTGCAACTCATCACCTTATATACTTTACTCCTGCTTTAAACTCTGCTATACATGGAAGCAAGGAATCAAGAACAGCTCTAGACCAGTAACTGCTTGACAGCCTTAAGGATGATGGCTTTTGACAGACCGTTCTTTCTTCTAGGGCGGTATTAAAGAAGGTAAATTTGTTTTGCTTCAGTTCACAAACACTGGAGAAGCATTTGCAAGCTTGCAAGCAAAGTAACCATGTGTCTCATGGGAAGTACTGCATCATACTTTTGGTCACCCTCAAGCAACTCAGCTGCCATATCTCCTACAGAGAGCATCTGGTTTGTCATGGAGAACGTTCCAAGTTTAGAGACATGGATGAAGTCTTCGCCTAATTCAAAACACACAGATCTCGTCACTGCTAATGCTTTGCCTTCTGTCACTTTGTGACTACTGGAAAGCAATTTTCAGACATGCTTATTTGCTTCAACAAATTAACCCTTTACCATCCAGGGATCAAAACCTCCTGTAAGCGTGACTCTCTCAGCATATTCTGGAGTGCAGATGGGTTGTCAGCAGTGCAGTAGCCTGTTAGAAATAAATAAAATACCTTCATTGCCATAAGCTCCTGCATCAAGACTGCATTTTCCAGGTCTAGCCTTTGGCTGTCTCCACGAGGTTTAACATCATAACTGAGGGGATCAATGTGGATGCTCTCCAGCTCCAGCATGGTAAGCTTCACTGCTGCCCTGTCATTCTTCAGCTGCTGTATATAATCCTTCAACCGCTGCTCATCCTCCTTGGTGAACTCTGTATCACAACTGCTTGCAGTTGAGCTGGTAGTACTGAAAAGAGAAAGACAGCATTAAAATATACCCGGAATAAGATCTACATTTGCATGTGAAATAATACTCTCCCAATACATGGGATTTGTTTCCATTAACACAAAGTTCACAGAGAGGACACAGGTAGTGCGGACTGGATGTTGCAATGTTCAAAAAATGCAGGGAGGTATGGCAAATGCGGAAAAGAAATTTAATTCCCCAAGCTATGTGAGAGAATCAAGTCAATGTCTGCTTCTCTGAAAAAACAAATATTTAGCAACATGTAACTGAGTTAGCTTTCTGGAATCGTGATTTGTGAAACATTTTTTTTTTTCCTTTTAATTTTTTAAAAAATGCTAAGTGAGATTTCTCAGCAATACTCTAGTAGGGAATGCCTCTGTGTGTTGCTTTACCACTGAGTCTTTATCCTTTTTGGTAAGAAGCATCCACTAAGAAAAGAGAATCAGTCCAGCCCTTATTTATATCTGATGATAGCAGTACCAACTACCCAGAGAATTTTTTAATGGATACCTGTTGGAATCAATCTGAGGGAAAAAAAAAAACAAAACACTGGCAAATGTCAGATGAAAACATATTTCAATTTGTGATAAGGCTAATTTAACAGAACACTATAATCACTTCAGGCCTCTGGGGGTTTAAAACAAGGCCATAATTTAACAGGATTTTTAATAAAAAAGTCTTCAGACCTGATGGAGCAATCCTTTTCTAAGGGCAAAACGAGTGGCTGCCCATGAGCCGGCCCCACAGATGCCTACCAAGAGATTCTGCAAGGAGAAAACCTGTTTCTTGCTGAGAGGAAGGACGCCTCAATGCCCTATGCCCACCTCTACGCATGCCAGTGCTGCAGGGGGCTCACATTGACGCAGCCTCCAGCATTCCAGGGATGAATATAGTTCAACAACACTAAAAGGAAAATAAAATGCCCTGTTGTTTCTATAACCTCACTCAAAGCTGCCTCCTGTCTCCTGAGGACCTGTAATCAGCTGCTGGGTGAGGGATAAGTCATCCATTAACGGTGCTTGTCTGGAATGCTAGATGATCTCAGTTATCAGCAGGGGAATAAATCACTTGCTGTATCAAATTGCGCTGTTGTTCAACATTTTTGGAAGAAGAGAAAGCCCCACCCTCCACATGCTGCGAGAGTTAGAATGATGTCCTGAAATATATTACACATGTGAGAAAAGAAAAGAAGTCTGTATTTTTCTTTCCACTCCTCCTCCCGCTACACTTTAGCTAAAACTGGTGATTTTAAAGTGCCTCAGATAATTAGCAATTAATATTTCCACAAATTCCAAGCACAGCCTTGGAAGAGAAGGAGAACTGGCAGATCTACAAAGGTTTCTCAAAATCTTTCTCCCTTGTGAAGTATCACGTTACAGGTCTTTACTACAGTTTTCTTCTAATTTCTCATTAGTCTTTCCATCTCTTAGGGATAATAGGTGCCATGTTTACCTGAAATGCAAACCAGTCTCTGCTTTCATTTTCATCCATTTCCATCTGAAGTCAAGCTAAAAACACCCTTGATCTATACTACACAGAAATTCTTCTAGGTTGCAATGCTGAAATTTTTGTTCACACTTAATTCTCAAAATATTTCATAAAAATGGTTTTACTGCCTCTAATGGCACACTTCTGAAGCATATATTGGTAAGAAAAAAATGGAGATAGACAATACAAGAGATACTTAATTCCACACTGAGTGGCACTGTGAGTTTCCCCAGCTCCCAAGCGCTATAATTACAGAGTTTTATTTGGATTAAACATAAAACAGTTGTTGCTGAAGGAAGAGTAGCCCTTAAAGTCTACACAGCTTTCAAATTTTGGGACAGAAGCAGCCCATATCTTAGTTTCTACCTAAAAGGAAAAGAAAATCTAGCCCTCCCCTTGAGAATTAAACCTGAGCACAAATGCTGGAAGTGTATTGTTGTTGTAGACAGTTGTATTGTTGAGCCGTGCGCTCACTGGATATCCAAGGTCTGGCCCTGAGAGCAGCTCTCCGGTTACACACGCCGCCCTTTGTGCAGGGCGCTGCCAGCAGGGAAGGCAGCCTGGGCCCCTGCCAGCGACCCTCTGGCTGCTCCTTCCTGACCGTCCAGGCTGAGCCGGCTCCTCTGCCGCGCTGCCAACATCATCTTTCTCTTTTTCAAACAAGGTGAAGGGAGTTTAAGGGAGAGGTGGCCTCGGCACAGCAAGGAGCGAGCTCGTTTCCTCTACCATTTTGCAGCAAGGCCCCGCAGAGGGCAGAGGCACCAAGCAGGGCTGGAGCCTCCCTCCGAATCCCCGTGAGCAACCGGCTGCTCGCGGGGTGCAGAGCCCCAGCGTCAACCCCGAAGGTCCTGGGGCCTAATCCCTGCTCCAGGCAGCACTCGCGCCAGCTGCATTCCACGTTGCTCTCCCTTCTCGTGGCCACTTTGGTGTGTGTTTGTGTATGTGCCTGTGTGTATTTATATAAAATACATACACACACGTAAATATTCACATATGTATGTAAATATATACTACATATAAAATATAGTGTATGGATATTAACAAGACTTCCCAGAATGTCTGAGTGTACCTTTTTTTATATGCTGAAAAATTTTATCCTTATGACCCCACACAGTCTTTGATTAAACTTAGAAAAAAATGAACCAAGCCAATAAATAAATCCACAGTTCAGCAAGGACAGGCAATGCAAAGCTGTCAAAACTACAATAATGGTGTCAGTACCGACACTGTGCCACTGGTCTCAGTGTCTGCACACAACTCCACACTTAATACAAGACACACACAGGTCCACCAGTCTTGTGGGTGAGTCTTAAGGCTCAAGAGCTGAAACAGCACAATGCCAAAAGAGAAGAGAAACTGAAAAATTCCCCAATCACATAAAATAGAAAGAGCAGTATTTTTAGCTAAGATCAGAACACTTTGGTGAACTTCCTTCTGAGAATAAATTGTACCAGCAAGGAAGTTAAGACTAAGAAGAACATTAAGGTATCTGTTGGGATACTTCTAAATAACTTATTCCCATGCTTCAGCCAAGATGATCTTGTACGTCAGCTACTCAATCAAAATCTGAGGTGATTCTTTGTGGAAGATTTAACCCTGTGTCCGACTGAGTTTAGATACTCAGCAGTGTGGAAAAGGATTCCCTGTGCACATAAGAGAACAGACTTTTCCTCCATGAATGCAGATATAAGGTTGGGGTTACCAGCTCTGCAGCGAGTACAAAATACCATTTTCAGTCAGAACTAGAACTGCAGACCTTCTGTTTCATTCTTTTTCAAGACGCAATTAGTCAAACCTTGTTGGCAAAACATGTTACATGGTTAGCTTCTGTCCATTAAAATAATTATGACTTCCAAGTATACCACAGAGCTATTTCTGTTTTCAAAAATGAATTGGCAACATTATTGTGGTGCTGCTGCCGGCCAAATGAGTTGAGATGCTTGCTATTATTTTTATTCTCTTCAATAGTAACAACCTCTGTGATGCTCTTTCATCTCATTTCAGTTGCTCCCTTTTACAGTCTTTAACCCCTTGTCACCAGTGGCCCTCTGAGCATTTGTTCTCGGAAATTTGTTCAGTGATTTGACATTCAGAATCTCATTTGAAATGCCAAAGCTAAAGATGGGTCAACAATCCCATTATAATCCCCTACTCTACAGGGCTCTGAACAGCAGGGAGAATTATTCATCTGTCACAAGTCTCAGTGAAGGAGAGTTTTCATTTCCTCACTCTCATACATACCCACGATCAACAGTCCTCACACTAAAACAGCAGAATGAAAAAACAGTCTCAGATCCAGGGCATGTTTGAAACACGTAACACAAATGGGTTTCAAGTACAGTGGTCTCCTAATGGTGGCTCACATGGTACTCTCCCCCATTTTACAGACTGCCAGCTTCTCTAAGACAAAGGAAAAACATGAGGCCAGCAGAAACAGCTAGAAATCCAGGGATGGCCTCCCCATCTCTGCTTGTTCTGTTAGTGCAGGGGAAAGGAAATGGGAGCCCCCAGCACCAGGGAATCACAGCAGGCAGGGGATGTGAGGCAGAAGCAGGTCTGTCTGGAGCAGCAGAGAGACAACAGACAAGGGAGCATGTTGGAATGGACCGAGCTGGCAAAGCTGGCAGGACAACACCAAAAGATAGCAGGAGGATCCTGGAGACAGAGAACAACCAACCAATTGAAGGTCAAAACTGCAGGGAGAGGAAGTAAAACTTTTTTACACCTAGGATAGAATGCTCGCTGATTATCATAAAGAAAAGTGTGTGTCTTTTGAACCAGCAGTCTTCCAACTATGGACTGACGGAATGGTATCCTGTGTCTTAAAAGAACAAGCTTCTCTTCTAGGATAGGGAAAAACATCTCTATCATGTATCTTCTGACCACAACAGAAGGAAAGAAAAGAAGGTTTGTATTATAGGGAGAGGCTAAAGCTTCAGAAGCCTATTTCCTGGTATGTGGAGTTAGACAAAGAAAAATCACATTGCAGGAAGTGCATAAGGTATGATCAGATCAGGATGTCCATATGAAAAGCTCCTGAGCTGCTTGTGTGATAAATAAGAGCAACTTTTCTTTCTCGGGTTCCACACATATCAAAGCAGATGACAGTGGTTACTGTATTCTGGTAACCACACAATATTTTACTACATGCCAAGTTCAGTCTGCAATGAAAATGGCTAGAGCTAACAGATTTCTTTTCCATACACAAGCATTTTCTTTTATATTTTTCATGTCATAGTTCATACTGATAAAATTTGCAATCCACCCCATTTTAAGCATACTCTCCTGAAGCTGCATCTACTTTTAGTATTACATGCACACAAATACATATTATCAAACAACTGAAGTCTACTGTAAGCAATGATACAAGGGGCAGTGTTCCTCTCCAAACACCCACATTTCCATCATCCTACCCTTAACAAAACGAAAATTAGGATGAACAAATCAAGGACTGTTGAGACTATATCCCTACCAAATACTTCATACCAAAAATTCATGTATTTCCCAATTAAGCCCTGCTCCTTTTCTTTAAAGCAATACATCAACTGTGTAGCAGACGGTGCATAAGAAAGAAAAACACTGACATGTTATAAACAACTGAAAATGACCCTTTCAAATAAAAAAAAGGTAAATAAGCTCAGCCTAGTCAGAGGTGCTGTCATGCACCGCCATTACAACACATTCATGTGCATATATGGCCTAAAGTGTCCATGCAATAAAAGGCAAGCCAAGTATTCAAAACAGCTTTCTATAACCTTTTCCTAGGTCAGTCAGTAATTTTGATACCATGACTGAACAGCAAGTTTACTGGCAGAGACTGTGCCATGGTCTCATTTCAAAACAAAAATTTTACTTTCTTGGAATGACAGCGCAGCATTAAAACTTATTTGCAAAAAGAATCTCACATTTAACCTCATTCCATCGAATTACTATTTTCCTGATTTTCAACTATCCCATGCTAGTCAACAAGGCTGGAAATAAGATTATTTGGAGGAGATGGTGACAATAAGAGGAAATGATAAAGTATTAATCTTCTAAAAGTGTCAAAAAACTCCACATTTGAACAAGAAACTGGCTCAAAGACAGAATTAAAACAAAGTTTTAGAGTGAGTCTGAGAAATCAAAATAAATTTTACACAGAAAAAATGTTCATCTATATTTATCCAGGATGCCTGCCAACTTTGTATCCACACATATGCACTGCACCGAGTACAATTACACTGCAGGCAGACAAAGACCCAAAATGAAGTTCCTGGCAGATGTATTCGAATTGGAACACTTCCGCAGTAACAGTTGATTTAAGTTTCAAAATTCTATAGGGCTTCAGAAAAACTGCAATATCCTTTTCTGGAAGAATCCACTCTATCCTTCAAGATTTGTGTTTGCCATTGCACTTGAAAAAAAAAAAGAAGAAAAAAGAAAAAAGCATGGAAAGGAATATATTTCAGTGTTGCAAAGGGAGAGAAAATGATTTAAAATGGAATGGTTGGATTTGTGATGTTTAGAAAATAATCCCTTAATACCCAAAAAGCCAATGGTAGCAAACTTACAGTCTCTGGTTCTCTGTAGCTCTGTGATGCCCTTACATAATAGATGGGAACAAGAAGTACAAGCTCCTCAAATTTCAGTGAGACTGCAAAAGATTCACTGGGGTAAAACCAATGTAATAGTTTTGCCCTTTACAAGGAAGATCAAAGTTCAGAATCACCCATTTGCAACAAATCTATATAAGATCCTTTTTGGCTGGTGTTGCTCGAAGTCTAAAGACCATTAGACCGCTGAGGCATGGTGACTTAGGAAACACAGTTAAGAGCACTCAGCAGACTAGGGTAAGGCAGGCAATTTCAGCAGGCGGAATGCAACATAACCTTCAGTCTAAAACCAAATACTGGGGGATTAGGAAAGCAAGTAAGCTGTGGTTACCTGGTATGGCTGTTGGATGACAGGCTTTCCCAGGGTTGCACGCTGCAGCCAGCGATTGCATAGGCTCCCCCGCAGCTCCCATCAAGTTTCATCAGCAAGGCTTTCGCTGCATTCTCAGCTGTCTTCCTGCAGTCATGAGCTCTCTTAAGCATCTGGGTAATGTTTTCATCACCTGTTTGGTCCCCTAGTTTGGAAGCAAACAATCTGTTTCAGAGCTCTGAGGAGGGTGATAAGAGTTAAGGCAGGAAGAGATGCTTCCATGCACTTTCAGTTTATATCAAGATGATGATGATAAATTATCAATTTATGATGTAAAAGCAGCTTCACTGCTGTGTGAGCAACAGAGATAATCTGTGTTCTCATCACAAGGCATCTCCCTCCCTGCCACTAGATCCAGGTATTTGTCTTATTCATGTTTTACCTTAACTAGCTTCTCTGTTTGTAAAGATAGGTGCTGTGGGTTAGGATTAGTACAAGATACTCAAGGCAGCAACATACTGGGAAAGCACCAACCTAAATTACACTTCTTACTTCGATCGTTCAAGTGCTGTTTTATCACAGTGTGGTCGCTTGCAGCACCTTTCCTCATGAACACTAGACCTCAGTCCTAACAGTTTGCCAGCAGACCTTCTTACTAGCTACCTTCCCACCTCTAAGGACAGCTTTGCTGCTCAGAAGCAGTAGTTGAACTTTCAGAGATAACTGTACACTGAAACAAAAGAGACACAGCACTGATTAATTAATTAACATGGTGTAACTTGCAGAGCTTCTGCAGAGATTATGCTACTACTGAGACATCCTTTCAGCAGAGATAACGCAGAAAACACAGTTACCATTCTGCAATTCTGACTCCAGATAGAGTGAAGTCAGTACAGTGAGACACAATAGTGGGTACACTGAAAGACAGAGAAAAGATAAAATATATTCATAGTTCTCTAAATATAACACTGAGGTATAAACAGTATAAACAGTATAAACAGTTCTTTCTTGCCAGACTTTCATTTAATCTCTATTAGAATAGAAGCCTAATTGCCCATACGTTGTACTTGCTAAGTAAACCACACGCATTAACTATTTCTGCTGTTAAGGCATGAGAAAGAAAGTGAACATATTCTGCTGAGAGGAACTGGCTGTGCTCAGCTCCAAGTGATGCAGAAGCAACTGTCAGGCATTTTCTGCTCACAGATGTTGGTGAAAAACTTGACTGGTCTTCAAACAAAAAACCTGCTATTTTACCTAGCTGTTCTAACCAAAATTCACTGTGAAGTAAAAGGTTTGTAAATCTAACATTAAGATCCCCCCAAAGTTATGTAACAGGAAGTTACTATCATTACTATCATTACATCATTACTATCATAATGTAATTGTATTACTGTAATTAAGGGCTGTTGACAGACACTTACACAGAATTAAATTACATTCCCTCATAAAATACATGTGGGGTAAATTCTTTATAACCCAACTGAATTTCCCTTTCTAAAATCTCTGTAACCTGTGTAAGGAGAAAATCCAAAGAAACAGTCATTTCTGCCAACTACTAATCTCTTCCACCAGCAAAAGCTTGATAGCACATTTTGGAAAGGACTGACCAGAATCTGGAAGAATAGTGCATGAAAAACCCAAGCATCCACTCCAGCGTTTGCTCTATGGCCTGCATGGACAAACCCACTGACGAAGACTTGCTAACAGCACTAGAAGAGATGCAAGACGAGCTGCAGGGTAACTACACACTGACCTTACATTGAATGCCCCCTGGTCTCTTGTTTCAAGAGGCCAAACCCATCAGCCTTGTGACTTTGATGCCAGGGGGTCATTTCGGTCTCTCAAAGCTTTCAGTTTACTTCCAGTGATTTCTGAGAAGCAAATGCTATGAATTACATTCTCTAGCAGGCTGTTACAACACAGCATGAAAAGCTATGCTTTCCTCTCCAAAGGCTTCTCCACTTCCTGACCCAAGATTACTACTGCTACCCTGCCCATCACTATAAAAATTAATGTTCATTGTGTAAACATGTCATTCTATCAGTAAAATGTAGCCAGAGAAAATGTGAAGTTCCACACACTTCAGAAATGTATTTACAGAAGTAGCTTAATCTTCTAATTAGAGAACAGCATGGCACTTAGTCACAAAATAAACTACCCACAAAATAAAATAAATTGAGAACGTGGAGACTGATATTCCAGTCAGGATAATAAAATATCATGTAGTAAATTTTAAAATTTCAGGGTAAAGGGGAAATGTACCCCACATTTCTTGAATTACTTGAGTTTTAATACCACCTTCTAATAGACTGCACTTTTTTGGGGGAGCAAATATTGTCAGAGCAAACACAATTTGTATTTGAAGATATCACAGTTGTACAGTCCTGAGCCTTGTTGTGCTCATGGTTATTGTTTAATCATTCCAGCCTGCATAGGAAAAGGCCTGTAGCAGCCTATAGACATCCTCTATAATGGCATATATAAGTTAATTCAAATTGCTGGTAAATTTTAAGGGTTATTTCCAGTCTCTCCTTCTCTACTTTTTGTGCATGCAAAAATAATTACTTACTCAGTTGAAAACAAAACAGACCAGAGAGCATTCTTAAGTGGTGGGTCACCAGATGATTCACTCTTGCAATTAACTTTTATGAATGCTAATTGACATGCAGAATAAAGTGATTCACTGACATCTTACCAACAGAACCAACACCTGCAGCTCTGAATTGCCCAAGAATGAGACTCTGCTCGCTTTCTGCCAACGCCAACAGCAGTTCATATGCTTCTATACACTGTTCACTGAAGGAAAAACAAAAATCACAATATTTGCAATTTAGGCAGGAAAAATATCTGCAATTAGCAACAAAAAAAGAAGTAGCAGATGAACTACATAATTCCCTATTGCTTGCCTGATAGTAGGGATATTAAATGATGTAACATATGTAACTTCTGCCACAAGCATTCAACAGTCTTTCCTTCCACACGATATCCTCAGATTGGCTTCACATATCATTAACAGCTAAAAACAAGGTGTGGGGTGATCTCTGGAAGCACTGGTGAAATGATAAGTAATATAACAGATGGCAGATATTATTTATTTAAGAAATTGTCTTTTCAGGTCTTCTTAATATGCCAAGAAAACTTATAGAAATATTTGTTTTTCTGTCCTGGCTGCAAGATTTTCTTCCATATAAGACAACACCTACAGGAGTGAGTCACTTGTTCCTGGTGCATTCTAATATATATATTTATATATTTCATAATATATATATTGCACCTATTCATAATTTACATTTGCCTATAATTTGCTCAGGGCTGATAGCAACAGAACACACTTCTTAAACAGGACACAGTTTGTCCTAATGCCAGAAGTGCCTGTTTCAAATTACTTACAGCATCAGGAGTTAAGTGACACCCTCTTTTACACGGATTAAAGCAAATTCAGAGACTTCAATGTCACTTGTAATTATGTAGAGTAAAATGTTACTCCTTGGTGAACTGGCCTTGTGAAAGGTGCCTCAATAATGCAGAAAATCAGTGTCTCATGACTGGGTTGAGGTCACTGCTGCTGCTGAACTAGGGTTGAGATAAACACCTATCAAAAACTTCAGTTAAAGTTTGCCCAGTACTTTAACCAATGGGTCATTCTTCATGGGGGAATTCAAAAGAAAGAGCTTTACTATGGCACACTAATAATTCTGCTCTCAGAGAACTCTGTCAAGTCTTCCCCCTCTCCTTTTTCAGGCTGAGACATTCTCTGTGCAAGTACATACCTGTATTGAAGCGCAAGCCTGAGGGCTGTGGCATTAGACTCGTACTTCCCAACAAGCATGCTCATCCGCTCGGCATTGCTCTTGCACTCCTCCAGAGTTATTGTCAACAAGTCATTCTGGGATTTCAAGTGTTCAATACGACTGTAGAAAAGGAAATAACTTGCAATCTTTAAGTTTAGCTTACAGACACTATTTTAAAAACTCCAAACAATCATAATCTAAAACAACAAAAATGTTTTATCTACACACTTTTTTTTTAGAGCCTATAGCAAAGTCTAACTGCTTCATAACCAACAGTATGAATAGAGAGTTCTCAGTTCTCCAGGGCTGTGTGCTTCATTCTCTTCCCCGCTCCACTCCTGATTCAATTCAATCAATATAACATTTCCCTGTGAAGGAGCAGCAATCAGAAAGCTGTAGCCTTCCTCTGATGTTACAAGAATGCATGGGGCAGTTATCTCGACTGTTTGCTTGATCTTTCTGCTTCCATTCCTCTCTGCTTCCATATTTGCTTCTTGAGTGGCACATTGAGCACGGGGGTGTGCAGTGACCAAGCAGCTGCACAAATGCTCCCTGTCTTTGGAACATTCAGAATAACGGCTTCACTTAAAGTAATAGTTTAACCACAATTACAAAAACAACTTACAAAATATGAACTGATTTTTAGTGATGCAATACAACCTCCAACAATTCTAGGAATGTCCAAAAAATATTTCCTCTAAGAATTTAACTGCAATATGAGGTTGATTAAAACCACATGAGGTTAATGAAAACCTCAGTAATGCTTCAAAATATCAGTGTTACAGACTATTATCAATTCTGATAACTGCAACATACACCAATGGAGTATACCTAATCATCAGCACTACACATGCAGTGAGAGTAAGCAAGTAAATGATTTCACAGTCCAAATAGTAACTAATAAAAGAAACCAATACCATCCACAACTCTAAAATCTGTAACTTCTTAACAATGATAAGAAAAAAAGAGAAGGGCTAATATACCATTTTTAATGATTAGAATAATACCCTGACTCTTTCCGTTGCTAAAACTCATAGCTGCTTCAACCTCCTAGCTTGCCTTTGACATCTCAGGTCAGGAAGGATACATGCTGTCAATGCAAAATGGTGTACAGCATAGAGAAAGATCACATTTTGCAACCTTACAAAAACATGAGCTACAAATAAGGAAATACTGTATTGATTAGACTAAACTTAGGCTAGCAGTGGGAAAGAGAGAACTTGAAAGCATGCTGAGCCACAGTTCTCAGATTCCTGATCCATAGGGTCTTGATCCACACACAGGGTTTTTGTGCTAACTAGGACATGAAGCCTTCACTAAGATGGAGCTTATCCAGCAATTAACAGCAATATTTTAACCACAACCAGAAAGTTACAATATTTCTTCTGTTGCCAGAAGTCTGACTGTATGTATTTCACAGTTAGACATATAGTGTGTGCACTCACTGATAGTTAATGCTCTGACTCAGTTTCCACAAGACAGAGAGGGGGGAAAAAAAAAAAAACACAAAAAACAAGCTAATTCTAGAATGATGAAGAGTAAGTTATAGCATTCCTTATTTCTAAGCACTGATGTGTTTTATGAAAAAAAAGATGTTATGTCTATTTGGTCAGCCATAGCAAAGGACATTCCACCAGTGCCAATGACGGTGCCATGCCTGAATAACAGTATCTAAGCAAATTGTCATACTGATGGCAAAAAACCTTAGCATATGCTTCAAACATCTGTTTCTTGATTTCATTTTATGTCTATTTGCAGCTCTAAGATTTGAGCTGAGACTCAACTATGAGATGTACAAAAAGCAGTATCTTGACAAACTAACAGGAGAAAACATATTTCAGCATATCTAACTATTCACCTTACCTGTTTAATCTTTCTGTCTCCACTTCAAACTCTCGGATTTTACTTTCAGAGATAGCAGATCCGTGGGAATATAGTGTTTGAAAGATTTCTTGGATATTTGAGCAGTCTTGGAGGGAATGTGCCAAGTGTTCAGCCACACTGCTAGACACCTGCACAGGATAATTAATAGGTCATTGTGAATGAATGGCAGCTGGATTCCTCCCACAGATTGTTTGGATTGACAGCTCAGATGTACTCCCATCAAGATATTCATTATTAATTTTTTTTTCTATGCATTTTGAAGACAACGGGACATTTATAGATTTCTACTTTAAAAAGTTACTTTGGTTCAATATTACAGCTAGCCAAAAGCTGGTCTACTATATATTTAAAAATGTTAATATACTTCCTTGAAAGCTAAACAAATGTCACATTCAGGTTGTTCTTTCAGGGAAATAAATATTAACCTACAGTAGCAACACTATATTTTCTAAATTTATACTGGCATTTCAGAGCAGGATGCAGTCCTCTGTTGATTTAGAAATTTTGGAATGTAACTGAAAAGTCTTTGCTTAATGAGTAACATTGACTCTGTTTATTACCCCCTTTAAGTCATTCAACGTATGACTTCCAGCCACCATGAGTTCTTAATGCTGGGTGAAAAACTCTGTTCAAGTAATTTTCTCAAAATAGCCTTTAAGATGTTTTAAGTTAGCTTTTAGAAAAACGATGCTGCTTTTAATGGAACACAAGCCATATTTAAAAGGTATCATGCATGCACATGTTTATTAGTCCTTACTCCTATGCTGCTGATTTCTGATCCTAGGACAGGTCTGTCAGACGATGAAGACTCTGATCTTGTCTTTGACAACTTCACTCTTTCAGCAATCTAGAAGTCAGAATGCTGTACAAGTTACACAGGACCCCAAACTCCATAGACATTATACAAAATACATCATCATTTGTTCACTGGCTACTTTTGGAATACTTAAGCAAACTGCTGTTGACAGTTTGACATCTGCATTGTAACTGAGAGACGTTAAATCATTAATGTTCATCTCTCTCTGCAGGTCAAGCTCTTGGGCCTGCTTTTGACCCCTGAAAACTCTCCTGGGATTCTAGATGATATTTCCCAAGTAATCACATGCCTGCACAGCAGCTGTGCAAAACAAAACCCATTTATATCAGACAATAAGCAACATTACCGCAATAGGCAGTAGCTTACCTTGGCTATGGGAATGTCATTGCTACTGCTGCTTGTGCTCAGTTCTCCAGTACTAGGGTTAACGGGTCGGTTTGCAGAGGTGAGACGACTCGGGCTGGATGGACCTGTTGCCTGCACACTTTGCAAACGTGTTTGCAGTTCCCGAACCTGTAACAAAACACCATATTCTGTTTTCCCATTTTCACAATTTAAGTACTTCAGAAATTTTCTCATTGTGTCCCCAAACTGACTGCTTCTGGCTCGAGCATACTAGTTGTGTTTTGTCTTGTGATGTCTGCAAAACAAGCCCTTCAATGCAGCAATATTATACACATAAAAAATACTTCTGGTGTGGGGAGGCAAAGAGGAGAATGAAGTCAATGCTCAAGGCTAAGATTCTGATGACTAAGTAAACGAGATGAAGATAACTATTCTTACTTAAAAGCTCCAATGCTGAAGAAACACTTGACATTAAACAAAAACAAAACCAAAAACCAACCAATTTAAAAAAAAAAAAAAAACCCTAGGATGACTTCATCATAATTAAAGGTCAAATATACTGAAATTTTAATCATGCTTTCAAAACTACAGTTAAACAGAGCTACTAAAGAGTGAATAATGTATAGACAAGAAAATGCTCTACTAAGGTTGCAGAAGGTCTCTCTAACCATACGTTGCAGAACACTGCACTGTTCTCATAACACATCAGATGCTTAGAGAACTTACATCAAATGAGCTCCAGGACCAGACCAGGGAAAAAAAGCCTTCAGGAGCCAAAACAAATTACTAACCATGCAGTTAGTGTTTACCTTGGAATTATTCTTAATAAACAAAGAAGAGATTGTCTACTTAACACCATGGTTATGCTATAAGGAAAGTCACAGAGCTCATTTTCCTTACAGAACTGCTGCCTCAGTATCAAATAAAGAGCATGAGAAGAAAAGGGGAGAGGAAAATATTCAAAGTGGCAAGTTTGAGAGTATTCTCTCAATGCTGGAATGTTTAACTTCATATAAAAGTTTTGGTGGGGATTTTGTTAGAAAATTGCAGAACAGAGTTGGGAAACTACCAAAAGTCCAATGAAATGAGAGCGGGGTTCAGACCACTTTATATTCCCTTAGAGCATGAAATGCAACTGGGATACCTATTTTATAGAACAAAGTGGGATCTTATGCTAAGTATATTGCATTTACACAAAGAATTGTTTAAACAAGCTGAAATTCTCATTCAGAAAATACCAGAATTAAAATTGCATTAAAGCTTTGGGCCTTCCTCGGTTCAACATGTGCACTATTGGTGCTTTGGAGATCCGTTTGGAGAAGTGCCAATCAGGATGTCACTGCACAAATTACACAGAGCCTTTCAGTGCAATACATTGAGCCTGGGGTTCAAGCTAGAACTCCTCCCTCTCCCCTGAGCAGCATCTTATGATCCCTCTGCTTCTGCTCTACAAAGAAGTAGTAGAAGCTGCTTCCGATTAAGATTTTATGAAAAAAGAGGGTCAAGTTGTCTGAAGACTTACAAATATTGTAATTAGTAAGTAGGTGCTAATCCTAAAAACAAAAATGGTTTACAAAACAAAGCATAACAATTATGCTTTACTAATAAAAGGTTGCAAGGAACAACAAGAACACAAAAGGGCTAATTACACTCACTTCCTCATTCACAGAGGGTGCTACACCTTAAACAAAGCAAAGCCCAACATTTGGTTACAAAAAGGAGGAGTACACAAAACTTCTAAACCAACTCCCCACTGCCTAAAGCAACCTACTGAAAAAAAGGATGTGGGCATTTGCCTTGGATCTTCAATTCAATTAAAATTCAATTCAAAAACTCAATTAAAACTTAACTGGGCAGATGAATGTAAAGAACATTCATAGCACGTATTTTCCAGAAATTCACAGCTGCTGCCTCCTTTGTTCATATGATATTCCTTTGTTTGGATACGATTTCTAACAGAAACACAGCTGCACCAAGGCAAGCCTTAAAAACAGAAGTGCTGCATTGCAAATCTAAAACTGAAATAAACTACGTATGTATATTGCTGCTTGCAGATGTGGTATACAAGTGTAGAGAGGATCTATATCGATGCATTAACACTGAGAAAACAGTGAGAAACACTGAGAAAACAAACAAAAAAACCCTGATTTTTGTTAAATTGAAATCACCTTTCGTACTAATTAACTTTAATCAAATTCCCCACGTATCTACTCTACAGTATACAAACATCAAATACAAATACAAGTATATATATACAAGTATATATATACAAATGCAAATACAAATACAAGTATTTGATGTTTAGCAACATGAACCATTTTTTTTCACTGAATTTCTGATTTTTTCATTGAACATTAAGAACTGGAGTCTAAGGAGAAAAAGGTCTAACTTACCGGGTGTCTTAAGAACTAAGCAAAAAGATAACCAGTGTAGAAGTAAGAGGGGCCTGACAAATTACAGTGGTGTTAGATAATACAAAGGACATCGTCAACACACACCATGGATGGTGTGTTATGAAAAACACTTCAGTAGAACACACTCAGGTTATCTGTAATTATGAATTTATGAAATACATTGATCCATTTTTCTCTTTACATCTGTGTACTCATCATCATCTTTACATCTGTGTACTCATCATCATATTTTACATCTGTGTACTCATAGCTTCTCTTCACACTCTTATAAAAGAAACTTACCACTACAAATTCCCTGTTTGGAAGGACAGAGAAAGGGAATAACACACAAACACACATGGGGCTATGGGAAAAGAGGCATGCTATATGGGCTTATGCATATAGGCTTATGCATATCAGAGAAAGCTATAATTCTCTGTATGATACAACTAAGTACTCTATAGCTTTTGCCACCTTTTAGACAACCCACCTGGGTCTGCTGACCCATGTGGAAAGATTTGGGAGCTGCAGCCTCATAAAAGGGGCAAAGCAAGGAAAATGAAGGACAGAACAGGACATCACACTGGAAGCAAAGAGTGGATTCCCTGAAAGCTTCAAACCCAGCTAAAATAATGTAGTCCAGGCTTGCCAAACACAAATGAGGGCAGAAAGCCTATCTCAGGTTTTCCATCTTTGAATTACAGATTAATCATTGAGCATTTGCATACAAGCTTGGAAACAGAAACAAAACTCCAGCTCATTAGCAGCTAAGCTGAGATATGGCTGTGTAAGCAAATACTACAGAGCTGAAGGAGAAGGGGAATGGAAATAGCCTTTGGCTGCTACCTCAGGTCTCAGGTACACGCTAAAAAATGTGACAGAAGACCTCAAGGCTTCAAACTGCTTCAGTTTACAATAATCTCTGCAGATTACATAACAAACATAGCAATGTGGAGTCATTCTTTCTGACCCCAACATGAAGGATCATGAAAGGCACAGAGTTAAACTGCTCATGCCAACTTTGTGAGGATCTATTGTGGGAGCAACGGATCTGATCCCAGATACAAAAAAATCATCACAGCTATCAGCTTTTGATTAACTGCACAAGTTGCTATTGGGACAAGTTGTTATTGATATGGTTTGTGCAGAGAAATTCAGATTTAACAGACTTGCAGAGACATTTTCATTTTAGACTAAGATCTTCGGAAAAACCCTGGAGAAGCCTGAACATTGTCTGTACCGACACTCCATTCGCCCACACACTGCTTGGGCTGCACTGAGGTATTACTAACCTGGTAACTTTCATGGACAGTAATTAAACAAACAAACAAATAAACATCTTTTACTTATGCAGTTCTACTGGAGTTTAGACACAACACCAGTGTTGCTCTACCAACTCCCCTTGTTTCAGAACACAAATACTTTTTCTGCTACAACTTAAGTATGCTGTTACATTTAACAATTGTAAATAATATTGCTCTGATTTCAATCTGATTAATCACATACACTGTCACAGAAGTTAGCCAGCATCTTACTCACATTAGTGGATTCAGAATTAGGCTCAGCCATGTGCACTGGTAAGCCGTTTCCTAAGGTATTGACCAGCCCAGACTTAAATAAAAAGTATTTTTAGTATTACAATATCATGAAGAGGTAAAATAAACTTCTCTGTTATGAAATTAGCAGCTACATTGCAGACTGCAAGTGCCTGCTTGCACTTTGCAGGTTATTGCATTGATAACCTCATTTACTAATGACCCGTGAGAAACAAAACTCCATATGTATGCTGTTACTTAGCTACTGTCTTAGAAAGCAACACATTCAGTTAACTGCACACATTAAATAAATCTAATTAAATTAAATCTCTAGCAAGGCTCAGAAAAGCCCTCCAAGAGCACTCTCTTTGATTACAGGCATTGGGCTGAAGTAACGCACTTATCGATCTGGTCGACTTCAGCTTATTCTCTTTACTGAATTTAATTTAAGAACAATGAAGAATTTTTAGTTGGATCTCTTTTTCCACTCTCCAGGGAAATAATCTGAAGTGACTCTGAGTTCAGGTGGCATATAGAAATTATTAAACAGGTCAAAGGAAACATTTATTTTGTTGCAACTATGAACACAAAGCTCCATTTCAAATGCAAATATGGTTTGCACCAAATCGAAAGTATTCTCTGGTGGGGAAAATAAACCAGTTGTTCTGCAAGTTAAAGATAATACTAAATATTGTATTTCAGTAAGTAATCTATAAATGAAACAGAAAAAAAGAAACCTGTCAGTGGTATCTCATTATAGTCTATTTTATACTCTTATGTTCTGTGCCAGTCCAACATTAGTCATTCACTCAGCAGCAGGTTATGGTAAGACACATCCTTCCATTCTATCAAAGAAGTTTTTGTAATTAAAAGAGTGAACAGACATTACATAACTGGCTTGTTTTATAGGAGAGGGAGCTTACACTCTTCACAGAGCAATTTAAGACCTGTCATCTCCAGGGTCACTGGTCTGAACAAAATCCAAGTCATTAAGGTCAGGCTGCTGCTCTTACTTGGCAACCCTTCCAGCCACTGACATGAAACAGGTTGATCTCAATTCTGCTTTTACCAGAACAGAGGTGCATCAGGAACACATGCAGCATCCCTGCTAGCAGCTCCAGACAGGCCCACAACTACCAGAGCAACATGATTAACACACTGTCTTTTCACTCCCTGCCTGCAGTAAGGAAACTGTATGCATATTTCATAACATAGCTAGCACTTGGGTGGCTCCACAAATGCCTCCCCTGGGAATTTCAGTGGCAATTCCATTGCAAACTCACCAAAGCATGCATCATTCACATATGTAGGACTAGATGCCATTCTTAATTACCTAACACAATCTTCCACTATCACTGCCAATGAGACAAAACAATAGTTTTGTAGGGATACAACCACCAGCTCTAGAAATACTGCAGCTGTATTATCTGGGGCAATTATAAGGAGTGTTTTTTGTTTTGTTTTGTTTGTTTTGCTTGAGATACAGTCCTAATGTAACAGTTTGACAGTTATCTTTACGTTAGAGCACTCTAAAATACTTTTAAATAGTTTAAGCTCCATTTTAAAAGTAGCTATTTATTGTTGTTTCCAAACTGCAATGTTCTGATTTAGAAACTCAACAGGCTAATTTCTAATCTAATGTAGTAACAGTACATTAGATGTATATGTACATTTAAGTACATTTAAGTACTTATATCCAAATTAGTCCCTAAGCTTGAACACCCACAATCCCCTGTTTTCATTTGATTCCTCTGGTACCCATAAGGAGAAAATAAATTTGTATTCAGATTTTTTTTTGTCAGGTTAAACATGACAATTTCATTTGATCCCTTCTCCAAATACATTGCCCATTTCTCTGAACATATTATACATCTTCTGTTGTCAATTCAAATTGAATAAAATTGATGGAAACATTAGAAAAGACAGAAGCGATCGTATTTACTATAGAGGCAGATCATAATTCTTCATTTCTTTTAGGGTTAAGGGACGCTATAGGACTCTGCTAAAATACTTTGTAGTTTGATATTAGAAGATTAATATGACAAACAGTACAACTTCACCCTAAAATGATATGGCTGCTAAAGAATAATGGTCTTCTAGAAACACAGACCTTACCCAGAAAGTTGCTCTGCTGTCATTAATGGTATCACTATCAAAATTTTTAAAAAGATATGGCTTTCTTGTTACACAAGCTGAGCACAAATTTGAAACTGCCAAACTTTAAAACAAGGAAGTATTTGATACATAGCTAAAACATTACAGATTTAACAGAGAGAGGGTTATCTAATTTAAAAGGTAATAGGGATAGAAGCTCACATTCTATTCAGTTCTCCTCTTTTCTACAACAATTTCCATTCTGTAACAATTTCAGACTCCATACAAAACACGAGGCATTAATCTGGCACCGAGCCAAAAAATGGAAACAGGGAAATAGGACATGAGTGAGCCCATTCATTGTTCAGTTCTGAGAAGTACTACAGGACAGGACTCCTGCTTATTTTCTTTCTCCTAATCCCAAATGCAATTCTCTTCAAAACCCAAGACATTTCTGGTCTAGAGGAGGGAAGAAAAAAATATGCTTCATAGGAAGATTCACTAAATGAACATCTGCTTTCTCTATTGACAAGTTAGATATACTTCCTTGGAGAAGAATATCAGGCTTTCTGTTAACACACAATCTTTGCCATAAGGTTGTCATACACCTTGGCTGTTCATCATACACCCTTTTTCAGCTATGTTCAGTTTTGTCCTAGCTCTGTAATTCCTACAGCTGGGATTTAAAATCAAAACCCCTAAAGCTAGTACACGAAGAGAGATGAAAGAGAAACTTCTTCTCGTGGCAAAATTACACGGATTCATGACATGCCTCAGTTTCCCCGGCAGAAGTCGTGTTTCTCCACGCAGTGTTGGAGCAGTTGGGAGGCCTTACCCTTCTGCGCAGCCTGTCCCTTTCTTCACGGATGGCGTTCATGGTGGCCTTGGTCCTATTCAGCTCTTCCTCTTTGCTGCACAGCATGGCTGTGAGGCTCTCGTTCTCTTCCCGCAGGCCAGCAAGCTCCTTCTCCCATCGAGATCTCTCCTCAGATAGATTTGGATACAGGTCCCGTCCCAGTACACCCTCGATTTCTTCTACTGTCTGCAAAAATACAGCCACCATAAAACAGAGTAAGGTGATTAAGTAGGACTTAAGTAGACAGCACAGGAATGTGTAAAGGGCAAATACAACATTATATGCATGTACTTCCATTTCCCAGCCCCACTACTTTGCTTCTTTTGCTCAAAACTACAGCCAGACTTTTTATTAAATTTTTTTTCATGCCATCTAACAAAAAAGCAGAGTGATCTTTTGTATACAGACCATCTTTCTTTCATAAAACATGACTAATGACAGTAAACCCAGCAACTTTTTCTCAAAGCACTTTAAAATAGTGACTTCTTGCCACAGGCAGCAATGTCATTTCCCTGCTGGGTAACAGACAGAAAGCAGCAGCCCAAGCCTGGCCTCTGGCTGTACGTACAGCACACGGGACCTTTCTTCATGCTGGTCCAACTACACAAAAAGGACAAAGATAAGAGTGGGAAAAGCAAAGGCGATGACTCCCTTCTTTTCTATGTCCCAGGGGACATAGTATTACCTAGAGGGGACATGGAAATAAAACAGAGAACAACGAACACTGGCTGGGCTAACATTGTCATGAATGTTGCAGCCTTTTTAGTGCCTAAAAAAATAGTTTAGGTTTCTCTGGGACTTGCTGTCTTCATTTCACTGCCCCTTCTCTTGCTCAGCACTGTGCCTTGTAGGTGCCACCCAGCACAGATGAGTGTGAAGTAACTTCCACGGCGTGAAGCCGACCCCTTTCCTTGCCCCCCAAATCCACACATGCACCCATCCTGCCAGTACACGGACAGACACTCGCACACCTAAAGCTACAGTGAGGCTGGTCATTCCAACATGTCAAAACACAGAGTAACATGCTGTGCGTCAGGCAAGTACATGCAGCTCTTCTCTACTATGCAGTTAACGTATGTTGAACCTGTGCTAAATGGTGTAATTTATCTAAAGATCTTAACATGAAGCAAACCCCCCAACTGTTACTAATAAGCTTCTGAATCTTTCTTAAAGCAGCCCACCTTAAAACAAAAGTACAAAAGGCAGAAAATTAATGGACATATGATGGAATCAGCAAAAAGGAAAGTTTCACTTCACTGGATATTCCAAGAGTAAGTTATAGCTAGAGCCTATACTTTAAAATTCATTATGTGATGTAAACAGTTCAATCGCAAGGCTTAAAATAATCTAATTAGAGTGTTTTTTTGTCTTCTTTTTCCAAAAAGACTTAACTTTTAATATATAGTAGAGATGATTACTTAAATTAGATTAGGTTCGTTAAAGAGTACTTTGGAGGAAATAAAAAGACCAACTAGAGAATAGCTGTAAATGCCAAATCAAGCCACTTTGAAAATAAAAGTCTGCTTTTCTCTGCAAAAAATCTTCCCAGTGCAGTAACCCAGACTGAAGTATCGATCAAGTTCTGCATTTTGTGCAGAACAGTCGTTATTTATTATGAATGAATTAATATTATTTATCAAATTTGAGGCATGGTAAGAGACCCATATTTGACGGACGTGAGCCTACAGGTCTCAAAAAATCATATACACAAGATAAGATAGGTTATTTCAACACAACATGAGGAAGAGGACAAGTTCTGAATGTGCACATGGACATCAATCTTGCAATGCAAAGAAAAGCTCTGTAGTGACAGGATGATTCTCTTGAAGGTGGGAACCTCTGATGCCAGTTTTATTTTTAAAACTGCTTCTTTTTTTGCTGTTTCCTCCTCTCCCTTCCCTGCTGTTCCGTGTCCTAATGCCAAGCTCTGCTGCTGCCTGCTTTTCCCCTATTCCTCATGAACGCACTGCAGCTATTTTTTCAGTCCTTCCTTCTCTAGGGTTCTGCTGCTCCTCACAGTGCTGTCAGGAATGACAAGGCTGGAGCAGTACTGAACAACGAAGACTCATGAGGAGACAGCAGCAGGGGTTCAAGGCTACAGAGTTTTAACAGAGCACAGAGGGGTGGCTGCTCTTTCTCCAGACCCCATTGCTGCTATTTGCCCACACAAACACAGACTTCAGACAGTGACAGCACCAGCACGGCTCTGACAGTCACACTAGTGGCTGCCTACAGAACTCAACAAAGCTGAGGGGACTTTTTGCTCCTATGCTCCCAACACTTTGAATGTGATCCTTTTGCTGACTAAAATACTTCTACAGTTTCCTGGTTTTAGGACCAATAAGCTACATCCACCCTGGGAATAAAGCAAAAAGGATCCCATGTGGATTTTTCTTTTTTTTTAGGAACTTTTTCATATGACACATGTCAATGGCAGAATCTATTGCTTCCAGATATTATGGATAAGAAAAAAATAGGTGGATAAAAAGGTTAGATACTATCACAGAAAGAAACTTCATTCAAGCACAAAAGAAAGTACCTCTGGCTCAAGAACTTCCTGACCCCTGTCTTGCTGGAAGCATGTAAGGAAGAAGCAGAATATACTACATGTGTCCTGTTCAAAAGTCTTTCCATTGGCACCTGCCACCACACAGACAGACTTTGATGTGACCCAGCGCATCTTTCCTCATGTTCTAAATGGTTAGTGATAAAAAATTTATACAGCTCTTGTCATCTTTGGAGTTTGCTAGTGTTAAGTACCAGTTACTGGGTTTAACAGGTCCTCTTTAAATATTCTAAGCACTAACCAGTCAATTCCTGGTAAATATTCCTAAACAAAGGGAAGTTTTATATCTTTGCAGTTTATCAAGACACTCTGCTCATTATCTTTTTGTATTTGCATGACAGAAACACTTGAGCTAGCTACAGCCACTTGATTTGTACAAAAATCAGCAACAAATTTTCCAGAAGCTACATTAATAATGTACATGTACATGTTTTAATGTACATTTAAATGTACATTAAAAACAACAATAAAATCTAATCATCGAAGCAGAAGGATTCAAAATACCCAAAACACTATTCTGTTTGTTCAGCAATGAAGAAAATCATCAACATCAACGTTAAAAACAAAAGACATCAGAACATGTCAGATAACATATATGATTGCATGATTTTATGCATTTTAAAGAATTCAATTCTCACACCATCGAGGCAGGAAAGCAGAAACAACCTGCAGCAAAATAGGTGGAATTGCAGAGGAGGCCTGCATGTTTTTGCTACATTAAACACCTTGGTGACATACTTCTACAACTTGTAATCTGAGCACGTCAAAGAGCTTCCTTATCTTCTTGAAAGGTTAATATCCTTCATGTGCCATCACTTGTCCAATGCAAACAATCCCAGGCTCAACTGCATACACAGTGGGAAAGCCTCTCCTTTCCACAGTTCACAAATAGCTGTGCAGGGAAGGATCACACAAAGCAAAGGGCTCTATCTTGCATTGGGGTAAAGTTGCTGACAGCTACTTAAACTGATAAAACTTTGATTGGATTTACTTTGAATCAACAGAAGACAGTGGAGTTAAAACAAACAAAAAGCTTGAGAACTAAGCCTGCAGCAGCTACTTGGTAATTTTACTGAATCTACTGGCTGCAATAGTTCTCATGTCCTATCATTTAAAAGATTTTTGTAGATTATGCACAGACCAATCTCCATCTGTTTTCCAAGATTCACAATCTCTTTCTCTGTGAACACTGAGTACTAGGAAACTGTGATCCTAAAGCTTCAGAAAATGCAAGAAACTCAGGAGTCTCTCTGTCTTACATACATACATTCACCAATTTAACACCCAATGTTAAGTTTTTCAGAGGCCATTACATTTTTGGGCCTCATAAGGATCAGAGCTGACCTCTCCCTACAGCATTCCAAAGGACTGAGCAGTTCGGAATGGTCCCAGACCTCATCACTTTGACAGCAGTGTCGAAATACTTGCTCTTAGATAAACAAGTCACTGCTCCTTTCCCATCTGACACAAATAAAACTTGTTCACATGTTTTCTTTTCTTTACTAAGGCACTTTACTATTTCTCTCCTTTAACATTTTGAATTATGACCCTTTCATCACATGTTTTACCAGCCTTTCATTTTACCGTTCTGTTACATCCACAACAAAACAAAGACATACATGTATTGGCTGAATTACTTGTGTCTGTGGCTAGTTTATCTTGTTACAATTAATCCATCACTCCAGGCTTTGTTTTAAATACTAGCTTTAATATAAGAAAACAAAACCGCAATTTACTTGTAGCTCATAGCATTTTATCCTCAAACTTTAGAAAGTTACAGATTGTACATACTGAAGTTTCAGTTACCAGTCTCTGACTATCTGAGACCTTGAGCAAGGGACAACTCATTTACTGGATAACCTTCAGAAATGAAATTAACCGCTGAGTGCTCCAGTTTCTCTCATCTCTGAAGTGATGATGAGAAAAATATCTCTGTTTTGAGACCAAAAAATCTATTAATAGTTCCTCTTGTGCCCTGGAGAATTTAATGTGTTAACAGATATATGACTACCTATCCAACAGATACTATGAGCTTTTTTGCTTTTTTTTTTTTTTGCAAAGTACTTCGACATATTTGGATATAAAGCGAAATTTCTGTGGAATATCATTACAGCTTATGCAAGGAACTTGCTGCATTCAGTAATTAATATTATAAGTACCTTAATGGCTAGATCACAATGTTCACTGGCAGTGGTGAGTTGTTCAATATGTCTATCCACTTCTGCTACAGATAAACTGCAGCTGCTCTTCTTCCTCCCGCAGACAACATTTTCCAGCCCTGTCAGCACTCTTTGCAGTTCTGAATTCAAGTCACTGCAGTTATCTACAAAAGAGAAAAAACACATATTTAATGGGTACAGAGTGACTCAATCAACAAAATCTAACCTGGGAAGTAACTCTTGCAGAACTGCTAAATACTTTGTCTTTTAAAGTTATGTCATGTAAAGGCAATCTTAAGTTCACATTTGGCTACACATAGCAGTAATGCCTAACGCAGACACATGGTAGAACGCGCTTTTGTGCTCTCTCTCAAACACATTAGTTACTCTTTACCTCTGGGCTACTAATCAAGAGGACTTTTGCATTTAGTGCTCACTGCACAGCCCACCAGTGGTGCACCAAGTGACAGCAGTTCTTCTTTCTTAGTAAAATGAGGGGCAAGCACTTATTTCTGCACGAGTGCTCCAAGCATTTCACTACAGCAGAATTTCCAAATAGGGCCTTTAGAGCTACGGTTTTCAAAATGGTGAAAAGGAGCCTGGCCTGACTGGTGCTGGAAACTTCATAGAATCACAAAATCTTTAAGGTTGGAAGGGACCTCTAGAGGTCATCTAATCCAATCCCCCTGCTCACGCAGGGTCACCTAGAGCACGGGGCACAGGGCTGCGTCCAAGCGGGTTTTGAAGATCTCCAGAGAAGGAGATTCCACAACCTATCTTGGCAGTCTGTTCCAGGGCTCTGTCACCCTCACTGTCAAGATTTTTTTCCTTAAGTTCTAGTGGAACTTTTGATGCTTCAGTTTGTGGCCGTTTCCTCTAGTTGTCTTGCTGTCCACCACTGAAAAGAGGCCGCCCTCATCCTCCTCTCTCTCTCTCTGAAGGTATTTATAGACACTGATCAGATACCCCTCTCAGCCTTCACAAGCATGAGACAACGGATTCTTTGAGACTACCTTGAAAAAACTCAGTTCAAGAGAAGACTGGAAAAGGCAGGCAAGGAGGTGGCCACAAAGTAACTGTAAACTCAACATCACCAATCTATGTCCACAAGACAGTATTCATAAATATAAAACTACTGCTGACAAAATATATATATATACACACACATATATATGTTTATACATATATGTACATATATAGACACATACATACATATGTGCACGTATGTTTTTTATATATATATATATAGTCTAAAATGAAGACACAGTATTATGTAACCAGTGTGAATGGGCAACACGCACACAATACATTTCTCTTGAATGTAGCTCCTGACTAGCAGTCACAGAATTCACAGAATTCACAGAATATTTAAGGTTGGAAGGGACCTCTAGAGATCATCTAGCCCAACCTTCCTGCTCAAGCAGGCACACCTACAGCATGTGGCACAGGGTGGCATCCAGGCGGGTTTTGAAGACCTCCAGAGTAGGTCACCTGCCTGCTGTAATGCTAACATAAAAACATTTCTTGACAATAAAATTTGTGAGGGGTGTATACCTTAATCTTTTTATGATTAAAAACTCTCTGATTCCTTAATCTCTGTAACATCTTATATATGCACATTTTGCCCATTTTAACAAATAATCTTCACATAATACCACATATGCTAAGTTCCTAGGACTATAGGGCCTACATTATCATTTTTTCCTCCGAAAAATAAGGATTTACAATACTAGAGACATACATTTCTCAGAAAACCAGTACAACCCAATCATGAGCTTTGCAAGACCACAGAAAATTAATAGTTTTAGCTTGTAATGTTTTACTGCTTACAGAACAGCGTATCTAAATTCATTCACAGAATCACAACATATTATTACATTTCCCAATGCTCATTCCATTAGTGCAGAAAGCAAGACCATAGATACTGTTATTAGGTCACGATTATTTACCATCTATATATACAGAGATTTTATATTAATATATATGAATAAAACTAAAATCCACACAAGAATGTACTTTCAAAGGAATATTAAAAAAAGAAAAAAAGGAAAAAACACCCCAGAGACTATATGCAGAAGGCAAACACGGATAAATGAAAGAAGCCCAAGGGCTCACATTCTTTTTTATTTAATGTTGCTATATTCCATCTTATTTCCATGTTTCCCAGTTTTAGCAGAAACTTAAAATAACAGCATTATTGTTAATGCATGCAAACACTGCTTTGCTCCATCCCAGGAGGAACAAAATCAAAGCTTTGACCACAAAATAAATGCTGAGAAGTAAATTAGATTGAAATTATTTGCCAATATAAAAAACAAAACAAAACAAACAAATGCATAGAATCTATTCAACTATAAACTTAACATTAAACAATTATTTTTGAAAGCAAAAGTGTTCAGTTTTAAAGAATATATAAACTCTACCAAAATATGTTGACTATATATAAACAGTTGTTAAATATTTAAATTTTTTTTGAACTTCAAGGTTGGGATATCTAATTATTATATGATTAAAAATCTTGCTTTTTCAGTGCTTCTAGAAAGTAATGTCACCGAAATGCGACTGTACTATAGCAGGTCTTGAATCCATGAGCAAATACAGATCTGGGGATGGTGTCATTTATTTTATTTACTTACAACAGTAATATATTTTCTAAGTTTTTATATTATATGGAAGTTATTATGTGTAAGTTAGTATATTATGTATACTAAGTTATTTCTAAGTTATTAAGGCAGCAAATGCCATGCCCAAAGGTCAGCCTGTTCTCAGAACAATTCTTCCAGAAAGCGCTTTCTTGGGGGAAAAAATAGCAAAAATAATCACTATTGAAGTATACCACTCTAAATAAACAGAGACAAATAAATGGCCTATATTGAAGGACCACATGTTTTGCAACAGTTATTAAGGCAGCTGTTTCAGCAATTTCTTAAAATACTGCTTGTGTTCTGTCAGCCTAAAGAAGCTGGTAGTTTACCGTGCAGGCAGGTTACTTACAGAAAAAAAGGATGACAAACTCTTTGTTTTTAAATACAAATTTAAAAAATAAGAGAAATAATATTCTGAAGAGAATTGTGGAACTTGGTCACAGAGAGGATTACACCAGAGATCTGTTAACTGTTGCAACTGTATCCGTGCAGTTAAAAGATTATCATATTTTAGGTCTCAGGCTTATAATACAACCATGTGAATTTCTGTCTTACAATAACTTTTATGCATACTTCCAGAGTCTTCAAATGATCAGTAATTAGTGCCTGCATGGCACAGTCAACAGATGAAATTTCATAGAAAAGAAATGCCCTCTTAGTTCTCAACCACAACATATTTCTTATAGACAGTCTCCTTAAGACCATTCAAATCGATCGACATTTCAAAGAATAGGCTGTCTTGCTACTACTAAAAAGAAACATGTCTACAAAGAGCCATAACCCACCCACGTCTGCAGTGACCACAGTGGACTGGTTCTCCGGTACCGAAACTGAATTCTGATCCATGCTGCGCGAGTCGTCGTTGATCTCGTGCTGGCTTTGGCTGAGCTCTGACCGCAGCTCCGAATACTCATCTTCCTCCCTGGAAGAAAGCACAAAAGCAAAAATAAAATCCTTGGAAATACCCAACTTGGTGGCACTTAATTCAGATCTGTAATCACAGCAGCAGGATACAGTTCACAAGCAGGTAACAGGGCTCTGTCCATCCCATCGAGTGGGAATCACATCTATCACCAAAAAGCAATTTCCCCTGTACTATCCCCCTAACAACTGTTTGTGGCAGCTAGTGTCTGTCTGCCTTCAATTTCTTTATTCACAAGGTTTTTATTATTCCAGATGACCACACAACCAAATAGTAAGTGGACCCTGGGGCCTTTCTCAAACATGTGTAAGTGAGTATGTGCACAGGAGGGACACACGCTGCTTTGCAGGCACACCAGAAGGGCCACTCTCAATCTGCACAGGCAGCTTTGGCCCCGAGGCAGATTGGCAATAACCAGTTCAGGTCTGTCTCTCAGTTTGAGCCTGCTGCATGACAGTGTGTGGAGCAGGTGTGCACATGTATGCACCTACCCATGCATCTGCCATGCATCTGAATTCTCCCAGGGACAAGGAAGTTTTCATTTCCCTTCTCAAAATGAAGGGAGCATAGAGGGGAGTACGGCATCAAAGCGCTGCAGTGACTGGTAAACAAAAAGCCTCAATTACCTTGTTTCTGACTGTTATTTGTCAAGCTGGTTTTACTGAAATAATTTAGGCCACAGAGAATTTTAGCTAAAGCTAATGAGCTTAAAAAATTAGGGCTTTACTCTCCTGTCTCCACATGAAGAGTTCAAAGCACTGGGAAAAGAAGATAAGTAAATGAATAATTGCTTGCCTGAGAATATTTGTAAACATTTTTCATCCTTTGATCTATTTGCAGATTTGACTCAGAAAAATAAATTTTACCTCTACCTTGATTATTTTCACAGCAAGGTGTCCATGAGAAAAACAACAGTTTATACAGATACAGAGGCTCTCTGATAAGTGAGCAAACAGTCCTCATTCTGTTACACATCAAGTCAAGTGCAAAAGTTCATTTTGCTGCAGCTTCAGCAGAAAGGCGGATAAGAAGCAGCATCAGAATGGAGCTGTTGGGATTTGGAGGCAATGTGAGGATCTGCAACTGGGAGGGACATGTGTAATTTAATAAGTAATTTAAGTAAGGGATATTTACACAGCGATTAGTATTTCATGCAGAAATCTTGAGGATTTAGCCTAAGGTTTTACTGGATTTTCCAGGCAAATTACCAGACAGTCTGCCCCATACATATATGGAATACTGACTGAAGTCTCTCCTCAAAGTGACAGAGGTGACATGGGATCGGGACAATTCAGGGAAAAAAAAGGGAATTTCATCTTGCTTGCCAAGCTGAAATTGCAGTCTATTTAGGAACTACTATGCTCTTCTAACCTTTGCATTTGCTTCAGTGTCAAGGAAGCTAGACTTTATCAGAAACAGTTACTGGCTATTATTAAACAAAAATGCAGGTCAACTGGTTAAAATTAAGATTTAGATCAAAGCAAGGTGCTATGCAATACATGCTTAAGAAACTGTGAGAACTAAATCATGAATAGCAGGAATTAAAACAGAGTAACAAAGACACATAAGCATGAGTTAATGTTCTATGAATAAGTTAATTATTAACCACAACACAAGCCAACAATAATTAGCTTCAGACAAAAACAATTACTGCGTACTCAAAGAAAGAGTTGCATTTTTTTGGTCTGAAGGTAATTCATTTTTTCATTTATACGTCAGTCTTCTCTTCAATTAGTGCCACATTTTAAAATCTAAAATACCTCTGCAAACAGATGAGAGGCCACAGCGATCACAAAACAATGCCTCTTGCACACACACTATAATCCGTCTCACTACACTCCTTTCAGTTCTCATTGCGAAACTGTTCCAGTTGAAACTCAAGACAGCTTAGTCTAGCTGGCACTAATATTGTTCTCTCAATTTAGAGCACTCTCAGTATCTTGGGGCATTTGAAAAGTGTGCTCTGTGGCAGCACCTTCCTGTGGACTTGGCCCAGAACCATTCTTTGGATCAATGTGTGCTTCTAGGTCTCAAGAGCTGCCCAGTGAGATCAGGAATATCTGCAGACACTTGGGATACACACTGAGGTCTAAAGCACTGCATGATTTTGTACTTCAGGTGCGAGGCGTTTTTCAACAACCATTTTACTTTAAAAAGTACTTTTACAGCATTGTGAGACCTTAAGACAGAGAACACCACAGGTACATGTGCACTGCAACCCACAGATCAAGGGCCCCTGTGCACGCCCGCTCGACGTCTCCCTAAGGTAACCGTGCACAAAGAGTGAACCGCACGGTGGAGACTGTGTAGGAACCCCGCACGGCAGGCTGGGCACCGCATGCTGAAGGCAACGCTATCACACCCGCACCAAAAGGAATTTTTGAAAGGAATCCCAACAGCTTCAACCTTGCACATCCTCAGGAGCTACGATCACACCTCTAGGTCACTCTGCACATAGACCTGAGTGCCATGTGTCATTTGTTTGATGCTGTAGTTTGTTCACTCTCATGAATGCTAAGAAAAGAAAACCTACTTTCTCTTTTGTTTCAGATTAAGAGCCATAATTCAAGGCTAATGGTTTTGCAGCAATGGGTTACAAAATTTTCAACAACTGTTTCAAATAATCTTTAGCAGGCTTCAATAAGCAAGAGCGACCATGCCCTTCTGGTTTTGTTGCTTATTGTTTTTAGAGTTGCACAAATGTACCCGAGCAACAACTGCTTTAGAATATAAATCAATTTGATCTCTCTCCCTTTTTGCTGTTGCTGAACAGCAAGATGTTATCTAAGAAATCCTGTCAGTCATAGGCTAAAGTTATTTCTGCATAACTGGATTACGGATAACTTTTTACAGCCAATTAAAAAGAAAGAAAAGAAGTTGAGGTTGAATAAATTTATACCAATACCCTAAGTTTCCAAAGTCTGGAACATATAAAGACTGGAACAGTGAAACACAGTCACCCAACTACAATTTTCCATGATGAATCAGAACCAAGGTTTATAATTCCAGGTTGTTCAGTTTTATCCTCATTTCACTGGACCCGTTTTCATCATCCTTTCACCCTCAAGTGTGAGACAGTAAATTCTGCATGTGCGACTTTAAGACCTAAGCAGGTAAGCAAACTAGTCTGCTTACACTGTATGCGTATAGGAAACCTTTTAGCCCTAATCAGTAACAGTTGTATTTCAAAGGGTTTTATTTTATTTTTTTTTTCAAGTGAGGTTGAGTATCCAAACCAGCTGAAGGGACTAGAGCAATAGCAGGAAGATGAGACAATTGCAGATGAATGTTGGCTTGTTCCCATAACCACAGTGACCTCATTTTCGTTAGGGAATGCAGGAAGAACGTAGTACGAGAGCAGCAGCTAACTCCACATGGCCACACACATGGAACTTGTGCCCAAGAAATGCCTAGCAAATCTAGAACACTAACAAAAATATCTAAAATACTCCATCAGGTTATTGTTACTAGCAGCAGTTCCTCAGAGGTCCCTGGGAAGGGACCTGGACACAGGCATGTGACGCAAGCTCTATTTTACAGCTGGACTTACCGAACTATGCAGGCATGAGCCATTACACCACAAGCTGTGCAAATCCCCCTGACATCGCCTAATGTTCTTTTAAATAAAAATCTGAATGGAGAACATTAATTAGCTTATACACCCTGCCAAATTCCTCAAGTTGTTGCAATGGCGTATTCAAACGTAGATATTCTTGCTGCGTAAGTATTTTAGCTACCCCTAAATTGAGAGTTACCATTTTAAAGATACCACAGCTTCAAGTAGATAATAAAATTCTCTCTCTGTGTAACTCTGGCTTTTTTTAATTGTTTCCAGAATATTTTTGTTTAGTGGGAGGAATCATTAAGAATGTCATAAAGCAGCAGTACATCTGGCTGCATGTTAGCTTATTTTTACAACCTAAAAACTATACACAAAAATACTGAGCAGTCTTTGTGCCAGTGCTGGGGAGAGACTTCTCTGTTCTGTAGTTATTCAAGAAACTGCTTTCACAGAGTGCACATTTTGTGATACCACAAGCAAAGCCTTATCTCGGTTTGCATACTTGCAGATATCCGAGACTGATACTAACAAATTAAAAACAAAATCCCTCTTATATTCTGATTTAATAAAAAGCTATAAATACTGAGTCCTAGGACTCTTTCTCAGAGAACTGTTTTGTTCCAAATCCCTAGCTCACATTCCCAACAGCCAAGGGTGGAGTGCTATGAGTCACACCTGTCCCAGCAAAGACAGCAGTTACACCATCCTTGTTCTGCAAGATGTTAGACTTTTCAAAAAGTGAAGCAAGAAGATTCTAAAGTAAATTTACAGAAAGTTCCAGCAGGAAGTATTAACATTCCTTCTTTTAGTTGCATTTTATAAACTGGGTAGAATCTCTCCAATTCCACTTGTCTGCCATTTTTAGGAAGAACTTTCCTTCTCCATTCTCCTAAAATATGATATGATATGACCAAATGGTAAGGCACAAGAGTGGCTTAGCATCTGTTGCAGCAGTTTGCATCCCTTTCCAAACCTTCTCAGCAGTTTGCAGCAATGGCATTTTCATGAGAAGCAATATGTACTTGGCATCAAACCAATGTCTAACTTTGCATGCCAAAGCTGACTTTTTTTATAATGCATGTGGAAGAACGTTCACAGCCCCACCAAATTCAAGTACTTCATAACTGATAAATAATTTTGCATTTAGCTTGGTCGAGGACCCCAATATTCAGTAGAAGCTGGGGATTAGACCTTCTGGAGAGCAGCTCTGCAGGGAAGGACAAGGGTGTCATGGTGGATGACAAGATGACCATGAGGCAGCAGTGTGCCCTGGTGGCCAGGAAGGCCAACGGGATCCTGCGGTGCATTAAGAAGAGCGTCTCCAGCAGGTCGAGGGAAGTGATCATCCCCCTGTACACAGCCCTGGTGAGGCCACATCTGGAGACTGTGTCCAGTTCTGGGCTCCCCAGTACAAGAGGGATGTGGAGCTGCTGGAGAGAGTCCAGCGCAGGGCTACCAGGATGATCAGGGGACTGGAACATCTGCCCTGTGAGCAAAGGCTGAGGGAGCTGGGCCTGTTCAGCCTGGAGAAGAGGAGGCTGAGGGGGGACCTGATCAGTCTATAAATACCTCAAGGGAGGCAGTGAGGAGGAGGGGGCGGCCTCTTTTCAGTGGTGGCCAGCGACAGGACTAGAGGAAACGGCCACAAGCTGAAGCACCAAAAGTTCTGCAGGGACTTAAGGAAACACTTCTTGACAGTGAGGGTGCCAGAGCCCTGGCACAGGCTGCCCAGAGAGGTTGGGAAGTCTCCTTCTTTGGAGGTCTTCCAAAACCTACTTCAATGCAGCCCCATGCTCCAGGTGACCCTGTGCGTGCAGGGGGGTTGGACTAGATGACCTCTAAAGTCCCCTTCCCACCTTAAGCATTCTCTGATTCTCTGTAGCACTATTCTAAATTCTAGTTTTTCCTGCCTTTCCAAAAGTATCAGTACAACACTTGTATTTCCCATATTTTACTCTTCAGTCACCCTTTATAACCAGTATAATTTTACCAGAAAGCAAGATGAGTTGCATCTGAAACAAACGATCACTAAACAAAATGAATGGAATGATTTAACAGCAGAGTTATCAAGCATGAACAAATATGGCAGAGATATCTTTTCAGAGAATCACAATTAGATTCAAGCATCGTTACCTGAAAAATACTGCCTTGACTATCACCAGTTATGACCATTTGAGTTTGCAGTAATCACTGTTTTATATGGTACTTATGCATAATGTTACGTTCTGTTATTTATGGTACAGCATTTTTTTCCTTACAAGCATGCAGCTAATAACAAGGAAAAAAAATCAAAATTTGCTAAATGAGAAAAGCATTGTATAACTTTGCTTACAAAAGTGTCAACTTATTTGTTTATTCTCTGGAAAATTCCAAGATTCCAGTGGCTTACATGCATATCCACAAATTAAGCTTTATAAAGTTCCTTCCTTCTTATACTCTCATTTTCCCTACAATGGGAAAAGTGGGTAGAAATATGTGGGGAAAAGTAAGCATTTTCTTGCAGTTAAATGCAAAGCTTATTTGAAAGCTGTACATCATGCCCTAATGTAACATGCCAAGCTTTGCAGTTCCAAGGCAACAGGCAACAATGTAAAATGAATCATTTTGTCTATTGTGACAACTACTAGCACAAGGTCAAAACATATCAAAATCCGTATGATTTGTATTTCTCCTCAGATATGATCACAGAATCACAGACTCTTAAAGGTTGGAAGGGACCTCTACAGATCATCTAGCCCAACCTTCCTGCTCAAGCAGGCACACCTACAGCATGTGGCACAGGGTGGCATCCAGGCGGGTTTTGAAGACCTCTGGAGAAGGAGACTCCACAACCTCCCTGGGCAGCCTGTTCCACTGCTCTGTCACTCTCACAAGAAAGAAGTTCCTCCACACCTAGAGATGGAACCTCCTGTGTTTCAGCTTGCACCCATCACCCCTTGACCTATCACTGGCCACCACTGAGAAAAGCTTGACCCCCTCCTCCCTACAATCTCCCTTCATGTGCTTATACATGTTAATAATCCCCTCAGCCTTCTCCTCTCCACGCTGAACAGGCCCAATTCACGCACTCTCGATCTGGCTTAGGCTCTATGTAGGATGCCACAAAAGAAAGGTAAAATCAGATGTGTGGTTTGGGTGGCTACATCTGTCTTTTTCCACTACTGCTATCACTTAATTAAGCCCCTTGGCATGCATATTAAGTTAAAGGAACATCTAGATGGCACAGTGTCTTCCTTTGCAGAACTCACCAGTCTGAGCAGACTCTGCTTCTACTATTGCAAAAATAGTGTTATTTTATCCCTGGGGTGACGGAGATAACCTTAGTGAACAGTGGATTGTGCCAATGACACATGTCCTAATTATGGGAAGCTATTTAGTACCAGTCATAACAGTTTTAACGACCTTGAAGTTATCATCAATTTATATTTACGATATATCTCACACTGCATTTCTGCAGTTAGTCATGACTTTCCAGAGAACTTCAGTACCTTATTGTTGCTCCTTGTAGTCGATCAATCTTTTTATTCAACTCAGCAATGATACTGTGCAGCTCTGTGATTCGCTCCTCGTAGCGCAGTGTTGTTCGCTCCTGCACGTCTTCGTGCTCTCTCATCAGGTGGGATTGTTCACACTAAAGCAGAGATGCAAAGGGTATAAAGAAGGAAGGGTCTTAGGAATAACTCCATACAGACAAGATATAAAGTTGCACATCGTTAAGATGGGCTTCCTCACCCACCAAACTAATATTGTCTGAGCAAGGAAAAGGACTGATTCACAAAGGTACACAACTGGCATCTCTTTTTCTTTGTTTAGGAACTGAAATACCATGCAATGTTATTTTATTATTGTTTCTTTTAACACATCTTAAAGCTGCGCTTCATGCCTCAATAAAAACATCATCTGCCACTCAGAACAGCTATAAATATTTCATCTTGGAATCTCTGTGAGGGTCATGATGCATCAGAATCACCAGGGATCTTCACAACACTGCCTGAATTAGAGAAAAGTCCTAAGGCAGAAACTGCATTAGAGTAAACAAAAAGAATCAGATTTTGAGATTGTGACACACAATCATGCTTCAAAAATACTTTTCCTTTACTCATACTGTTCATACAAAATCAGCCCTCTGACACAACTCCTGACCGCCATATGGACTGACCTCTAAGATTTACTCTGTGCTGCCCATTTATCAGACCTTATGCCCCTCCTTGATCCTTCTTCTGTATTGTTACAAAAACCAGCACAGTCCTCTAGCTCTCACTAAACATGCCCTAGGTCTCAAAACCCACCAAAACAGAAAAACAACATATATTAGTGTTACAGGCTAACATCATTTCATAAAGCTATAGCAGTCAGACCTGGTAGTCTAGACACTGTCACACAGAAACATTATTTTTCACATAGAAACAGTATTACTTCCAAACAACAACAATGTTAACTACAATTAAATAACAATTAAAGAGGAAAAAGTAGCTTTGATCACCAATATCTTCCCATCTCAGACTAGTTTGATTGTGAAAGGCTAGACTGTGAAATAAAGCCTTCCCTCTTTCCCTACTATTTTTCATGGAAAAGGCAGGATTGTGTAAAATCCAGAAGACAATTCCCCAGTAGGAATGTTCAGTTATATTAGCCTTTAAATATAACATATATTTTTCTTACATATATATAATCTTCATACCTCTATAATAAAATGTATATTTTTTGAACATATAAATGACTAGATTTCTGCCTGGCTACCATAATTACAATGAAATCCTTCTTTTTCTTTCCAAGAGAACTTTAATTCCAGTTTCTCTGGCATGCTCCTGGTGCCAGCAGTCACTGTACCACAACTGCAGCCACTCAGCAGTGAACGTTCATTGCAGTCATGCTTGGTAGCACACTGGAAAGAGCAGGGCATCTAACCCTATGCTTCTAGTTCCCTGCAAGAGTCAGCCAAGCCTCCTTGCAACCACACAGCACTCCGTGCTGAGCTGGGAATAAAAGAAAACTACAAATCAACCAATGGTAAAACAAAACGAAATAAAACAAAACACATCTGTAACTGTCATAACAAATGTCATAGCATTTCTAAAATCTACAACTCATAATGTATGAGATCACATAACATCAGAAATTGTTCTTCCAAATTAAATAAACACTCTTTACAGACATAGTGTCCCCAACCATGTCATACAAATGAAATTGATACCTGTACTAACAGGGATATCAGAATTTTTACAATTTGCCACTAGATTTTTGGGCCTATCACATTCACAGCTTGTGAACATCATGTGCATAAATTATTTTTCAATTTGAAATCTATGCCGTGTATCAATAATATTTTTCTTTAATGTTTTAAAATATATTGAAATAAATTTCATTAAGTTCCAGAAATACAGACTTTCAAAGACAGTTGTTCCAGGCATTAGATCTAAGTTTCAGGATTACTGTGGACGGGTCTCCCTGTTTTAACTTCAGAGAAACATGCAGTGACTTTCATATCATGAATGTAATATACATATCTTGTGATAGCTAAACTATCACAAAAATTTACCTCACATACCATAATGAGTACTTGCAGCATGAAGGTAGTAAACTGTTTTTCAATATTTTTTAAGAAGTTGCAGAGGAAAGAGATATCCATTCCTTCCTTCAATTACAGAGTAACTAAGATGGTTTTAAACATAAACATAGGCTTACCATGACAGAATAAGAAAAATCTTAATAACCATTTAATGCACATTATATGATCTTTCTTCCCATGCAAGATCAGATCCAGACTGTGCTAAATTCTGAAACAGGTTTCATCTCTACCATATAGTTCACTGACATTGCCTCCTAATCCCATTTGGCAGTGCTTTTCTAGGTTCAAAAACACCATCTTGAGCCGAATTACTTATTCCACAACAAACAGAGCACAGTTCACAAAACAATAGGTCATATTTTAGAAAACCGGCAACATACACTTGGCTTTTAATGCTTTTAATGTTGACTATCTGACACGGTTATATATGTGTATTATTAAGTCTCTTTATTGCAGTATGTCCATGATATTTCTCAGTTTGCTGTATTTTAACATTGAAAAACTGTCTGAAGAGCTACTACGGCTTTCAAAATTCAAAAATAACAGGAAAAAAAGTTTAACAAAACTGTTAGAACAAATTAAGAGCAATAAAAGTGTTGCTTACTCTGCCTTTCTAAAACTGAATTTCCTCTGACACAGCTCGATGCTCACAAACACTACCTAAGCATTATCCAGATCAATGAATTATGTGAACTGTTTTTAGTTTAAACCCAAAAGGATATGTCAGATGGAGTGTGTAACAAATATTTTCGGACAATAAGTAAAAATCCTGTCACATCAGATTTCATCTCTCTAAGCTGTGCACTGAAAAAAGAGAATATTGTTTATCTTGTATGAAGATATACGGACTTTTGCTAATGGACTTCAGTCCCATTATTAGACTTTCCCTTTTGTTCTGCCATTTCTCAGGCCCCATTTTTTATGATAACCATCATTTAGTAACAGACATATCTTCTGAACAACCAGTACTCTGGAGACACAGAGTACTGGTCTCCAGTAAAAACTTCACATTTTATTTTTTAAAGGGGCTCTCAGCTTATCTGGGGCAAGAGTAACAGGAAAAAAAATATTTGGGAAAAGCAGGGAGTGATGCTAAGGAGGACCACTGTAGCTTGGAGAAGGTACAGGGTTACATGTACTAAGTCCTGGCCAGCTAGGAAAAATCTCAAGTAAAAAAGGCAAAAGTAATCCTAACCATGGAAATACAATTTAGTATGAATCTCGAAATATATTAATGAAATATTAATCTGGTTACACAGGTTTGTTCCTTTTTATGACCTATTTACTGTAAGCTTAAAAGGGATAATAATCATGCTGTTAACATACCCATTACTAATATGCTTTTTTCCCTAAGATTCAGTTCTTTTAATATCTGCGTCTTCTTAGGGTCAGAACCATGACGTGCCACCAATTCCTGTTTCTTTTCAAGGTGTGCATACTCAGCTTTTGCAATTAAAGGTTGCACAGTTTCTAAGATAACTATCTCAGAGCCTCTTCCTCATTCTCTCTCCAGCGTCATACATAAATCCTGACAAATACACATGCACCATTCTCTAGGAAAGCAAACAGGGACAATCCACTAACAGGGTGCAAAAGTTTAGCTTCTTGGAAATTGAAGAGCACAATTTCCAGTACAGTTTGTAATGGAAGTGCTGTTATGTTGGGTTTGGGGACATTACTTAAATAATGTCTTTAATGCCTGGGAACAGCGCATTGGGAACACCTTGGTATGACCTCTTGATGCTGGGCAACAACCACAAGAACAAGAAGAATGTGAAGGGCGAAGATGACAAAAGGCAGTATTCCCTCGTGCGGATGCTGCCTCAGCAGCAGCATCCTGACGGCGCTGCCCACGGACGCACCCAAAGCGCCAGCACAAGCAGCCCGAGTGCTGCTGTCCCCGGGGCCACCTTCCTGCACTCGCTGCAGCACAGCAGGGAAGCTCGTCCGGCCGCAAGGCTGCACCAACAGCCCCCGTGGTGCCGCAGGCCCTGCGGGAATTCTCGTACACACCACCTTGGCCCAGGCATGTGGAGCAAGCCAATGCATCACAGGAATAAGCACAAGTCTAAGAGGCACACAGAAGCTAAAAACCTTTGCTCAAATGATACAGTATTTCAAATATAAGACAAGTGGCAATCAGCTCATCTAACTGTGTGTATGAACACATATTCATCACACCCAAGCTGTGATCTCTGACAGACACAAAGTTGGAATTAAATTGTTTGACAGGATGCTCTGTGTATACTTGGGATGGAACAAGAATACCAGAAAACAGAAGTAATCCATATGAGGTTAGAACACCACACAACAGAACTATAAATTTCCACGTTGATCTGAATACAACATATTTCTATTTCAAGTTAATTAGCTAAAGGAGAAATTGAAGTCTTTCAGTGAAGTTCTTATGTGTCTGTTCTTATGCATCTACAAACTGGTAGTTTTATACTGAAATTCTTCCATCCTGCTTTCAATTCTGAATAATTAAGAGGATGGTAAGGAATTATTACTGCACTAATGGAACTTGCTCCTACTGTGATATAGGACTAACTGTTCTGTCTAGAGTTATATTTAAATCCCTAAATTAGTAAATAAAGCACCAAGAGTAAAGAAAACAGAATTGTCTATGAAAGAGATGTAAGGGTTAGAAAAATGCAGCAGGTGAAGCATCTGTTTCTGCTCTATTTGCTGACACATCCAGCATGCAGTTGTATTGGTGTTCTGCCATAAAGCCTTAGAATTCAGTGTCACTGGATGTTGCAAAAGCCAAGAATAATAATGGATTAGAAGATTCTGAGATAAATGCATGGAGGATGGGACCATGGGGAACTGTGAAGTACAATGCCCACTGTGGCTCAGGAAGTTCCTACCCTGTTGCTGGATGAAAGATGAGAGAGTGTGCCTGAGGAGGACAGCCTTCCGTGTGTGCCTGATGCTTTCCCTGTAGACATCTGCTATCTGTCATCATCAGAGCCAGGACATGGGGCCAGACAGAACTAGCAGATATCACTACTTTTCTCTTTATGACCATAGAAAGATTTTGAAAAAAAAGACATTAGCTGTGGTTGGCCAGTACTTTTCAGCACAATTCATTCAAGAGATCAGTTCAGTGCCAAACTGCTCACCAATATGAACAACCCAGACAAGGAATATTGCAATAACAGAAGGACACAGGCTATGCTTCAGCAGCGTCTTCAGACTGTAGTTTTGGAGATCAACTCTACCACGGTGCAATAATCAGAAATCCTGGCTTGTGCTGCTTCTAGTTGGCTGGACTTCACTGGTGCCTCAAACTCTAGAGGGACAGGCACTGTGTCTTTTGGCCCATGAAACACTTAGATCCCAGCAATGACAGCAAGGGGGAAAAAATAAAAAGCAAGCAGCCATAATCCTATAACCAGCTTTCCTCTCTGATGACCCTCATTTGATGGCACTTTTATGAAATACAGGAAAATGATCCAATATTTAGAATCTTGAGGATCTTCTGTACATCCAAGATACACAAACACCTCATACATGGCTAGACAAACACAGACATATTATAAAATGCTCTTCTGTGTTACTACATAAAAGACATTACTTACACACAAAGTCAACAACTTCTGGCTGTCAGCAGGGTAGACTGGGAACACATCTATTGCTTGTCTTGATCTCAAGAAAGTAATTATTGACTGTTGGGGGATGCTGAGCAAGATGAAGTCTTGGCCTTATCTGGTACAGTTACAGTTACCTGTTTTTATGTTTCCTGATAGGGCCCTACTGTATTAAACCACCTCCTTTAGATGATGTTAGGAAAATAATCTATACAGGTCAGCAGGAACACAAGTAGGGCAAAAGCAGAGATTTTTGCGTTCCCATTGTAAAAGCTGCTGAAAACAAAACACAAAACAAAATCCCAGCAAGCTGTGGTGTCTCAGCAAGAACAAGCTGCCATGCAGGCTGTGAAAGGAGGCCCAAGGTGGGAAGCAGAGGAGGGTGAGGAGGAGCGCGTCGGGGCCCCGGCGGCCGCCCCGCTGCAGACCTGCAACAACTGTGTGGCTACACAGGCCCACTGTGCAGGCCCACAGACGCCTCCCACCCAACACTGACACGCGTTTCCAACCCAAGAATCAAGTGTCAAGAAGCCTTTCTTGACCTTTTGCTGTCTCTTAAGTCTTCTACCTCAGCTCCCCAGACTACCTCTGCTCTGTGAATCAATAAGCCTTTCTTCCAAGGTGTCTCCCGTGCCTCACAAAATGGCAGGAAAGTCACTACCAAAATGTGATTTATTCCAGACAAAGCTTATCAGGTCAATGGAGCTGAAACAAAAGCCTCTTTCATAAGTAAAGTCTAGATGCAGAAGAGCGATTTAATACTGATATACTAGCACCTGAATACAGTTATGCAGAACCTCAAAAATCCCTTATTTAATTTATGCCTTCTGAGCCTCTGATGCACATTAGTGAGGAAGAAATGCATTAACTTGTAGAGAAAAAATGACATATGATATGATATGCATTTGGATGATCCTCTGTGGAGTGGGAGGAAAAGTTCAAGAAATGATGTTAAATGGAGCATCTACTTGAAAAAGTAATGCAGTTATGGAAAAAAAAAAAGAAAGAAAAAAAAAGATGTATCACTAGAATTTGTCTCAACACTTAAACACAGTCAATATACTGAGTGTTTGAGCTGCACTTGTTTAACAACTTACTGCTTCTCATGAACTGTATTTTATTTTTAAAATTCTTTCACACTCAAATCATTTTCTATCCACTTCAAAGCTTTAAGGTAAGATTTTGAAGAGAACTAAAACATTAAGACTTTATATAAATTGGTCATTGCTTTTTAAAATAAAAAAGAGAGAAAAAAATCCACAGTTGCTACAGAGGTTGTAACCAGCTGCAACTATATCATCACTGAACACTCAAGTCACCCTTCTCTTTACAGCAATGATGAACTGCCCTAAATAACCAACACAGAATAACTACTAAGCCCAGTCAATTTAGAAACACCTTATAATTGTTCTTTTCCACAAGTCTTCCTCTCTTGCCCTCTCCAGCATGCTCTATTTTCCCTTTTCGGTGGGTGTCCAGAAGTATTTATTTCATTCTCAGCTTGGAGAAAAGTATGACAAAAGCATACTATTCTGAAAAAAACAGTATAACTGTATCCACAATACATAGAGCTACTCTTGCGTCTGCAACCAAACAGTGCATGACCATGACAAAATACTCAGTATTACCAACTGAGCACTGCACAAACGCCTGCATTTGTAACAAAGAAAAAACATCGAACAAAAACCCCATCTCATGGAATACCACCAGACCCCGTGTTCACTGGGACTAGGGATGATTAACAAAAAACAACAGCAAAAACAAATACTCTCCAAAAGTCATTGCCAAGAGGTAATCACCACTGCATGGGAGCACCTGCTTACAGACTGAGGCACAGAGCCCTCCACCTCCTCACATACACATTTACAAATATTTGGCAATAGGTATTGCCCAGTAATAAAGATTTATGTTCACACAAGGCCTAGAAGTCTGATAAGCAACAACAAGGCTAGTGTAGAAATACAAGATGATTTGGACTATTTAGGTACAGTGGGACCATCTGACTTAACGATTGCCAAATGCACTCTCCTATGAAACTGTGCCTCAGAAAGAGGAGTCTATATCAGAGAACAATAAATTATTAAAAAAAAAGGATCTTGGGATTGTGGCTGACAAATGATTCAATATGAACTCCTAGCATGACTCTGGGTCATATATCTAAGAAAATAAAGAGAGAATTTCATTGATGAGCAGGAATATGAATACTATTTACAACCCTGTGAAACCTGAAAAGAAAAAAAAATCAGTAAGCGCAGATAAAGGCCAAAATATGATTGAAGGACTGAAATAAAAGACTTAAAACGTAGGCTCCATGAACGTTTCTACATTTGGCTTGAGTTCAAGTAACCCCTGCTTTATCAAGACAATGCCCTAGTATACATACACAAGAAGATACAAGTCCCCATCAAGAATATGTCAAATACTAAAAGATTCTAAACTAATGAGGAAAAGTATAATATAAGGGTGAATGGAACTGAAAATAAACAATACTAGCATGTTTTAATGTCTTCTAAAAAATCTAAACTAACAATGAAACAGTCACAATCGCTTGACGCTTTGAGATAGGATGTACAAAATGCTTTGACTGTTCCAAGAGTAAATGACGAAAAAGGAATATTCTTTGATTCACTAAGTGATCAGACATGCCTTACTCTTTTGAATTAACTCAATTAAATTCAAGTATAGGTTTTGAATCAGCTTTGGTTTGGAATCAGTTTTGAATGGTAAAATGCTTACAAAAGGTATTTGCCAGAACGATGGTATCCAAAAAGAAAAGTTTTGTTCATAGAAGAAATAAAGACAAAGAAAAGTTTTGAAAGGACTTTATTGTTTAAAAGTTGAGAAAGAATTACTATTCAGACCTTATTCTTATTTAACCTTTGACTTTCCACTGAGAGTGTTTTCCTAACAGATGTATAGAAAATAGGCTTAATAAAAGCAGGATTGAGCACAACCACTCTTCACATACCACCAAAACACTGGCAAGAGAGAGCATTTTTTTTTAACACTGTTAATTCACACTGTATTTGAATTTGATCCATGAGCTAAGGATTCTGCGGTCTAAGAGTATTCTGTGACTCAGTAAGAGTATTCTGTGACTTTTCTTGTTTTTAAAAAATTGTTTATGTTGACTTGAAAACAAACCTTAATTATTTCTTTTTTCTTTTTAAATGACGTCATCAGCACACAAAAAATTGCTGCAAGTATATTTCTTACACAGTCCTAAAATCTTCTTTCACTCCTGGCTAAGTCATAGTTCAGCCCCTTGCTAAATTCTTCAAAGAACAAGGGCATGAGAAAATGAAGAACAATTTTCAGCATCTTAAACTACTGCTCACCTGTGCTTTCGCCAACTTCTTTTCCAACAGGTCACGTTCCCTTTCTGTTTGTTGGAGACGTTTATTAAGCTCCACTATGTCTCCCTTTAATGATGCCAGGGCTGCTAAATGGAGCTACAAAACAAAAAAAGGAAAGAAAAAACAAATTAACCAATTTCTATACCATGTGTGTAGAAGTAATATTTGAAAGCAGAAAGTATATTGTAGAGCAGTTACAGCACTGGTGGTTTTCTGTAGAGTTTTTACACTACCAAACAGTCTAAAAGTAATCCACATATGACTGAACTAGCTCTCCAGACCGCCCACACAGGCTTCCTTCTTAAAAAAAAAAAAGAATTAGAGATATATACACCGCAAAATGTATGCATTATATCTAAAACTGGTTTAAAGGAAAGTTGCTTAAGCCTTGTGTTATAAATCCTGACAGTAAATGTTGACTCATATTTGCATTACAAAAGAAAAGTATGCCCCAGTACATTACAAAATAAAAGTATATGCCTTCAGACATATAGAGGTTCTCAGCTGAAGCAGGGAGTAACTCCATTCTTAAGATTCAATTTTTCCACACTTGAAGCTACTGCTTTGCATTGGCCATTTTTCGAAGTCTCATGTCAGTGGGTTTCAAAAGTTCTAATTTACTGAAGCTGCACATGAAATCCTTGAAGTGTTTTTCTTTCCATAGTAGTTTACTTGGATGAAAGATGCATTCTGCATTTAGCAGATAACTTGTGGAAATATGAATCAGACAGGATAACTAGCGAAATTTACAATTCTTACTTAAAAAAGAAAAATCTAACACCCAAAGCTCATTGACACTCTCTTGTTCTCCTGAATATCCCATTCACTGTTACACTAAACACAGGTTAGAATTTGGGTTAGAATTTGATATTCTATAGTAATGGCTACAACTCACAAGTCCAGGGGGAAAAAACAGCCAGTAATACAGAAGTCTTTCTTTGTAGTAATGCAAAAACGACTCCAAGTTATATTGGATGAGAAAACAAAAATGACCTTTCACACTGGACTGAGTAACAAGGCAAAATTGGCTCTGCTGCCAAGACTCAGACTGAAACACAACCCCTCTTTCTAGTCTTCCAGCCAGACTACTCCAGTTTTTCACTTGAGCTGACGTTTTATTGGGTGGGTCTCTTTTAAGTTATTTTTATTGTTTCAATTCCAGGCTATTTGCTGATGAGTCCAATTTTGATATCAGTACTGGAATAGCTCACAATACTAGAAGCCAACAAAACCTTAGGTGTTCCCACGTACTGACATATGAATGCAGCTGCAGTGCAGCAAAGAGACTAGATTACTTGGCAAAAATTCCTTCAGATATACTATTCCAACAGTGATAGGAAAAGCCAATTCTGGCTTCAAGGCAGAAATAGGAATTGCATGAAAATCTCAGATGTGATTCTGCAGTTTTAATACCAGTATAACCAGCTAGACTAGAGGCTCTGGGCATCCTCATTTGTCAGCTCAGATTAAAATACTTTTATTACATCAGCTACAAAAGAAGTCATACACCCAGAGTTATTCATTACAGTGTAAATCTCTAGATACATATTTTTATGTTGTAGAATGTTTAAGAATCTCAAGTCAGCCTCATTTTTCAAGTGGAAAACTAATAATTCACGTCTGCTTCTTTCAAATGTGTGTGCTGATCGCTTAATAGATCCAGACATTCCTTGAATCTGGAAGTATTCTTGGCAATTCAAATAAATTTTTCCAACCACAGGAAAACACACACTACTTTTACAGTATGGGCAAACAAGAAACAGACTAGTTTTATCAATCTGCTCACACATGACTACCCCTTCTCAGGAAAGCTGATGGATTTATAAGCCTCTGCTTCACTTTGTTCCCTCTGCAGAGAGGAACTGTTGCAATGAAGCTCACTTGCTTGCTCATCAGATCTTGCTTCCTTCACCACAGCCTTAAAGCTAGATCAAAAAACGGCTACAGTTCTTTAATTCAACAAGCTCATGCTATATAGCCAAGTATCCTTCCCTTTTGTACATGAAATGAACACCAGCTGTGGATTTAATTAAATACTAGACAAACAATGTTCATGGACATGGAGATGTAGTATAAAAGGACACCGCTAATTCAAAAATCTAATTGAAGAACAACTTGTTCTCTGAACAGTGGAGCTAATGAGGCCGACTTCCTATGCACTTGTTTCTTTGTCCACTTCCCGCACCACAGTGGCCAGTTTGTCCTTGTGTCCCCAGCACACCCCAGCCTAGGCACGAAACTGCATGAACCGGGTCATTCTGCTGCAGCCTGGACCGACAGCTCCTGGACAGCAGGGGAGCCAGCAGGTGAACCACAGCCCTCTCTTCTTTTGATAGACTTCTTCAGTCAAAAGGTTTATATCATTAGAAACAAAGTTTGTTAGATGTTTTACCAACCAAAATGAACCTTACTTTCATAGATTCATTCCAGCTCCATTAGCTCACAGATTTATTCCACTCCATTCTAATAGTACTCCATTTTGACTACTATTAAAACAATACAAAAAATGGAAAACAAGTCTGGTAAGATAACACAATACCTATGAAAGACAATGAAATGGCAGACTAGACAACATGAAGATATCACATAAAGAGGACAGCTGGCTGGGATAATCTGCCGTTTCATACATTTTCTCAGAACACAGAGCAATAGGTAGGTAATTCTCAAGCCGATTCTCTAGATATTACTGCAATAAAAAATAAGCACAGTTAACATAGCTAGTGTAAGTATATTCTTGGCAGTACCAAGGTCTCCTCCTTCAGAAAAAAAAATGGTTGCAAAATTTTGTGGCACCTTTTGTTATGCTGTGAAAGTTCCCACAGACCTTGTTTCCCTGCATGTTTGGGAAGGTTGGAACTCCTTCACATGGCAGGGTGGGAACCGAGGCAGGAATCTCTGGATATTGCTCTAGCATAAACAAACACCTGAGTGCAGAGTGCCAGCCAACAAAAAAGTTACCCTAGGAAAAAAAAATAAGAGCTCAAATATAATTCGAGTTATTAAACATCAAAAGACTCAATCTAAAAACCTCAAGTGGAATGCAAAAAGTAAGATATTACTGCAGTTCTGAAGTATTAAACATTACATGATATGAGAACTGGGGGCAGGGAAGAGATGGAGGCAGCCACATGGCAAATGGCTTCTTTTCCTGAGCGAACACTGAGAGACAGGGCAGAGCTCCTACCACCTGCATTCATATCATACATCCATAGTTCAAGGTGGACTGCCTCTTAATGGCATAAGATTAGAGAACAAATTAAAAGCACAGTAGTTTGCAACAATTAAGCCTGATACCAGGAGGATTTTGCATGCACCATGCCCTGACCTGAGCCCTCCAGCAATGGCTACAAGGGAGCACTACATGAGCACAAGGAAAACAGCCACCTGACAAATTCTTAAATTACATATTGATCTAATGCAGCAACTACTGAATTCCCACATTCCCCCTGAGGAAAAACAGTATGTGATGCTGACCATTACGTGCCAACAGACCAGTGAAGGCAAAGAGCCCAGCCACACCTCCTTACTCACCTCTTTATCATCATGCAAGGAAATTGCAAGTCTTCCCGTAGAGGGATTAGGGGCATAGAATTAATGTAAACATATCACCTTTCTACATCTGAAGCTATAGTTTCTATAAAATTCACTGCAAGGATAATTGTAAGTTGCCTACTCCAACACATATATCCCACATGCTGCACCTGACACTATCCTGGCAATTCATCGACTGAAATTATCATTAACAATCTCTGCACAGAACACAGCCTTTAAGACACAAATCACCACAGAGCTAAGTCTTGAAAGATAAACAAATTCAAAAAAACGCAGCACAATCTTAGGGAAAGGAAATATCTGACCTGTCTTCCAGCCTCCTTTGTGACCTTCAAGTCTTCGCCTTACTCCTCCCAACTGCACCTTCTGCTACATTATCTCAGAATATGGCAAACAAGATTTAATGATGCACTGTTTGCACGAGGCTTTGAACAATGCTTTTGGTGCTGTGCTTTGTGAAATATTCTACATGAGAACAACTAGAACTGATGTTTGCTGGCAGTCAGGTTTCTCAAGATTTTTAGGGAAAACAAAAGTACAGAAGCAGAGAGGACAGAAATGTGAGCCGACTGACAAGGTGGTAGGAAGCCAGTGACATGCCTCCAGCACAAACTGCTGCAGGCAGTGTGAACAAAGTTAAGAGAAAAATATAAAGGATAATGAATGAGGGCACTAGAAAAATTGTAGGTTAAGGTAAAAAGCACTGCAAAACACACTATTATACACAGCATTTTTTCTGACACTGTAACTGTCATCCTGATCACTAAATTTAGCCCTCACTTCTCCTCAACGTGGAACTAGCCAAATTAAATAATATAATTAAATCAGTCTCACTCATAAAATCACAGAATCATTAAGGCTGGAGGGACCAACATTTATGTTTTGCTACTTCCAACAGAGCTTTACAAAAGGGACCTATACACATTCTTTTCTCTGAGAAATTAAAGAACTCATCTTTTTATCTCCCTCTCCTTTTGAGCTTCTCCATTTATAGTAAAGCAGCTCAGAAATAGGTGCTCAGAAATGTAACCTCAAAGCCACAGTCAGAATCATCAAACCATAGTAAGAAGATATTAACCTTTATACCAATGCAAAAAACCTGCCATGAAACACCAAAGTGACGTTTTTGTTGTACTCATCTACTCTACCATTTTCTCTGTCACCATGTTTTACTGGTTTAGTACAAACACATTACAGCGTTTTTTTTGTGTTTGTGTGTTCAACTACTCCCAGTCTTAGTGAGAGGCAGTATAAGCAAACATACCTGATCAAGCGTTCAAAAGCTCACCTCATCTCTGAAAACATAACCTTTTTATTTTGTTGCTATCAAATGACATTTCACTGGAGTTGAAAACCCAAGAATGTCAATTTAAAAAAAAAAGGCATTTTCCGACATCCTTCTTATTTCTTAAGCTGAGACAAAGCCACACCATAAACAAGAAAATAAAAGGGCCAATAACGTAAGTTAATAATGAAAACATGTTTTAAGATGGGGAGGTGAGAAAAAAAAAAGAGAAGGAAAATCAAGCCATGTCTGGAGTTTC